AGATCCCACAGACTGGCCATGTCTACAGTGGTGGTGGTGGAGACGCATGGACAGGGTAGACATACTGAAAGAGCTGTGTTGTAGGAACTTTGACACAACTGAGTCAGAGACGACGATGAAACGCTTGTAGAAAATGGGTCTCAAATAAGGACAAGCATGCAGAAATCAGAGTTGAGTTGAAGTGAGTCAAGAATTGACATCACAGCACTCAGGGCATTACCATGCATGCTCCTTCCTCATCTTCAGCAGCCAGCGCAAAGTTCCAATACTGATGGTACCGGTCACAATCTGGTTAAAAGTCCATCTTGCCTTTCCTCTAAATATAGTGATCTGGCCAGACCCTCTGGTTACACCCAGGTGCCTCATTCTCTCCAGGCCATAATAATCTTCTTTCTTTACTGATTCCGTTGCTTGTTCCGAAAGGGCCTTGAAAGGGCCGGTTGCTTGTCATGTATCAATTCACCACCCAGTGGTGCGGATACAGCCAGTCTGTCTGCCTGTTCATTACCCACCACGCCGGCATAGCCTGGAGAAAAGATCTAAAGTATGCTCACCCCTCGTTACCTTTCCAGTGAAGCTAGCCACTCTGCTCGAAGCATCCCCGTCTTAACATTTTTCAGCATGCTTTCAGTCTGTTACAATTAGGACATGTGTATGCATTTTGTTCTCTAGCCACTATAGAGCTGCAGTTACCGCCTCCCCTTCCATTCTCATGCTAGATGTTGTGGTGTCATATGCTAGGCTGTCTTGCACTAAAGATTTTCCATTGGCTTTCGCTACGAACCCCTAGGTACTTCTATTTCCTCTCAACACCTAACCATCTGTATTGATAATTAGATCACTTATTTTGAGTCTGGGAACATCAGGTCTAACAATCCTGTTGTCCAAAGAACATCACAGGACGGTTGCCTTTTCTGGGTTGATTACAGCACTCATCTCTGTACACCAGTCGATCACCTTATCTACTGTTGCCAGTAACTCTTCAGCTTTTTGATTCCGATATCTCCCCCTCCTATATACAAAAACATTATCTGCAGATGTCAATATTATGCCAACTCCAGGTGTTTCCAGGCAGGCAATCTTGCTCGTAAAAACATTGAATAGTACAGAACCGGTTGCTGGGTAAAGAAAGAAGATTTGACAGTCAACTGCTACTCGGTACGTTGGGCATGGAGAGACTGAGATGGCTGCTGCATCAGAGGACGGAGCACGAATGAGTCCACCCTATCTTCTAGGACAGTTCTATTCAACTAAGTTTACTCACGGGCCAAAATTGTACAGTGGGGAGGTCCGAGCCCAAGAATAGAAAGATCATTATATATACAACTGGCAATGAGCCGCGAGCCAATTGCTAGGTCTCCGCGAGCCAGATTTGGCCCGCGGACCACCAGTTGAAAAGCCCTGTTCGAGGATGTCAATACGGACAGCAAGTAACAAATGATCGCCAATGAGTAGATAACGTAACTTGTCAATGAAGGGCAGAAAAGGAAAAAAAAAAGGGGGGGGGGGGGGCGAACGGTGTTAATGTAGAGATCCCGTTGTCATGCTCTCAGAGTGTCACGTGATCAAACAAAGATGGCTCTCATTGTTCACAGGTACAGTTTGTTTGGATCCAGTTCTCAACTTCGGTAGTTTACTAGTTTAAATGTCTGGGTGTGGGGTCATTACAATTTAATGCTTCACTAAACCGAGTGGTACACATTTTATAAGTAGAGATCTTAAATTGTGTGTAATCTTTACTTTCCACGACCTTTGAGCTAACAAGTTAAACTCAGAGGCAGTTGCAGGCAGGAGTTGAGATTAAAAGAAGACGAAAAAGAATCAAGTCAATGAACTCAATGGATCGTATAGTCAGCAATATTGCAAAGTTGAGAGCCCATTTGGTCAACAATTAGTTATTAAGAAGATTTAAGGATTTTCACCATGTGGGGAAAACAAGAATAGACCCGCTGCCTACCCAGGAACATGTCATTAGAGTCAACTAATTGGGAGCTTCCGGCTCTCCTCTGAACGGCGTCATAATATTATGGCGGCCATAAAATATCCAAAATTATCCGTACCGGGCTCAGTTCTATTAAAAATATGCCGGCTTCGTATAACGAAACAGATGCTCTAACAGGGTCTGAGCGATATGTTACTTGCGGACCTGTTTCTGTGACTGTGCCTCAACGCCGACTGTATCCCCCACGCCGCTACGCGCGGCGCGGATAGGGACTAAACTAGATGGCTGGGACTTATGAGCAGCAGCTACCGCATCTCCTGCAACTTCCTCCAATTAATTTGCTCGTGAGTCCCAGGCACCGAGTTTAGCCCCCCATCCGCGCCGCACGTAGCGGCATGGGGGATACGCTAGGCGGTAAGTTTAATCGCGTTTTGCGCATAACGAAAAGTGTGAGGATACAGGTCGGCAGGTCTGACATCCACTGCTGCTAAATCCTCAATTGGACGAATGGTATTGCTAATCTGCGTGGGAGCATGTGGTCTACATGCCATATCGCTTTTATCGTCTGTAATGTCTCGAAATTGTCAGCGGTTGCTATTATCGTCTGCTAGTATCGTCTGCAGAAATGCTCAACATTGTCAACAGTCGCTATTATCGTCTGCTACTACTGTGTGCAATGTTGCGTCTGTTGACATTGTCAAGTAATCCTAGTTTTGCCGCAATTTGTTCCTTGGCAGAGAGTCTGCATTTTACATATGCCTGAGCCCCATACGGATATTTTGGGATATTTTATGGCCGCCATAATATTATGTTTGGAGTAGAGCCGAGCTTCCTTCTACACTAGTATGCTGAGTACATCACATCTGCCTGAGCATGAGAAGCAATGAACCAACAATTTGCATACAGATGAGTCAAATTTGTAAAATGAATGTGCACGCAACACTCAAGTTCTGCAACAGAATTAGAGGCCAGAAGCAAACAACCAGAACTTTCCACCCGAGTTTACAGCTGGTGAAGGCTAAGAAGAAAGAAGAAGACTAAATGTGAATGAAGAACCGACATCATTATGAAGTGGGGAGCGCTGTCCGTCCAGAAAGAAGTGGCAAACAATTAAATATAAAAATATGCTGGATTTAGTTCTGCAGCACTATGTGAAGGATGTGGAACTACTATAGTCATGTTTAATAATACAGTTTTTATTTAAACTTAAGAGAGCATCACAGTTATTAACTGACTTGAAGTGGTTTCATTCAACAGGTACTCTATTTTAGTTTTTTTTTTTTTTTCTGTTTAAAAAGAAAGTAGAGCTCTCTTAACTGCACAGGTCTGTTTGTGCGCCACGGTAGACTTGGAGTAGGTGTTGTGGGTCCCCTAAATATAACTTCTTTACAGGTTTAACAGGGTGTCTGTTATTTGCTTTGTTGTTTACCATCCTGGATACGACTCTTGAAGTCACAAGGATGTTCAAACCTTACTTAGCAGCCTGAAGGGGGGAAAGACAGACATTAAGGATTTACTAGAAGACAGATTATTACAGTAATTATTTAAACAGTCAAGAGTGTGTAGACAGATGGATTAGTTGAGACCATAAATACCAGCATGTGTATAGCATATACAAAAGCTTGCTTCTGATGCCTCTTTAAAACCTGAGGCTGAAAGGCAGAATGGGACTGGAGATTAAATGCTTGCCTGCCAGCCTAAGGGTCTTGAGTTCAAACCCTCATTGAGAAAAAATTTAATAAAAATGATGTCAGCTATTAGATCAACCCAGCATAAAACGGGTGCTACAGGTAAAGGTTGCTAGCATGATATTCACCACATCACCCATTAAGTGGCTATTGGTCTGTAAAGTTAGGGGTCTAACGGTGTGGAAATGGTCCTTTCCGTTCGTTACTATTTTGCTCTACACAATCTTAACAAAAATAAAAGTTTTTCAGATTAAATTAAAAAGTTTTTTTTTTTTTTAATATATAAGGGAAATAATAACGAATACAGATGGAACAGAGAATTAATTGCTTACCTTTCCTTTGATAGAGCCGCCATGTTGTAACAGCTAAACGCTTCTCTGCAGATTTGAATGTTGTGTACTCATGTCCTGAAGGAGCCAGACTTTTTTTTGTGTGTGTGTGCAAAAATATCTTTTGCTGCCAGGTTGAACCAGCCTTAAATAGGTACCAGGTAAAATCCTGGGAGGTAAATGTGATCAGCATGTTGTTGACCAGAGCACCCATAGAGTTCAGACTGGTCTATAAAAATATTGGTCTAACCCTACATGCCCAATACGCCTGAATCCATGGAAAAGGGTCCTTGGTTTTTTTTTATTTTTTTTTTTATTTAACTTCTCTTTAAAGGTGAACAGTTTTTGTTTTGTTTTTGAAGACATAGCTACATGGAGCAAAGTGAAGACATGATGTTTTTATAAACTTATGATGATATCACAATGAAAAAAGCAGTCTTTTCATCCCACATGATATACCTTTTTTTTGAATAGTTAATATATTCGTACCCACCACCATGCTGTTGTAAAGCTGTTATATTGGTATAGTAGTCACTGGCCGTAGACATCATGTCAGCAGAAACATACAAATGCCACACAACTAGCTTATTTGAGGCAACAGGGCTAATGTGTTATGTGTAGATTTTTTTTACACATAATTAATTCATACAAACATTAATGTTTCTGCTTATAGTTAAGGTAAAGATGTGAGTGATGTGTATATAAATTAAATTGTTTCCCCTAGCTCCATCCAATATATACTTTATCATAACTTGTTTTTGGTTTTTAAATGAATGAAAATTAAATAAGCAAAATGTCTGTTTTTTCATGATCTGCTAATTCTTGATATTTTCTTGCTTCAATTTTTCTTTAGGTCGCATAGTTGTCTGTGTTGTATGCTTCTACAGTGAACAGGGTTTGAGCACAGGCTACCCACCATGGACCAGACAGTATATTAAATATAAACCAGAGGCCACAAGTTGATAAAGCGGAGAGCTGAGGACTTGAGTTGAAGGGATTCTGTGCCCACAAATAGTTTCCCTTCCTCCCCATTCCTAGAGTATGAAGCACAGTAACTCACTGACGTCACTGTCATCCATGGACAAGGGTAAGTTTAGATATCTTTCTGCTAAATCTTGTTTGTTGTTTGTTTGTTTTAGTCTCCAGAAGCCATGAGTTGTTAACCCTTAGGCTCGGTATTATGGGTATTGCAACCTTTCGGCCTTGATTCCATTGTAAATACCGTAAATCTGGGAGAATTGTGGCTTTTTTGCCTACCCCCGGGAGTGGACCCGGACCACAAGGAGTTCGTCACCCGGTCTCCACGCAATCTGGTTTAAATCTTGTTTATAAGCAGGGATATTTTAAGGTCTCTGTGGCAAAATAGTTAGACTATGAATTCATACATGGAGGCAGTCTGTCCGTTTCCACCCGAAGGTGGGCCTTTTCAGGGCACCGGTTCAGGCCCAACTTTATGAGGTGCTAAGTGAATTGCACAAGACAGTGAGCTTATACTAGAGACAACATTGCTGATACAGATAATCTACTTCAGACGAATTAAAAAAAGAAGAAGAAGAAGAAGAGGAAACTAACCCCCCATAATATAAGACATTTGGGGAAACACCCTAGAAATTCCTTACAAAATCTCATAGCCTCACCAAAACAAGCATAAAAGAACCAGATATACCACATGAGATATAGCAAGTGAAGCCACAATTACATACAACACAATTTCACCCAGAAGACAAGAAAATAGACATGAAAAGCGAAATCCTCGCCCGGACCACAAGACCACAGTGGAGGATCTAGACATGTTCATAGCAACAAGATCATACAGCTGGGGAACAATAAGCCTCAACTTTTGGCACAATAAAGATTTAAGCCACTGAACCTGGTATACATAACAATAGACCACAATTATAACAGAAGCTGTTTTCAGCAGGGTTAGGCATAGTTTGATTTCCCGCCCTCCCCCCCCCAACCACCAATCTGACGATGGCATCTTCAACATGCTAATCTTATATTTAATTACCCTGCAATGTTTTCCCAATTCATACATAATTGTAATATTCCAGATGCTTCTTTTTTGTGAATTTGTCCTTAAATTTGCACTTGGCTTTTTGCGTTGTAGTTTACAGTTAGGCTGCAATATCTTGCCTTTCTGCCCAACTCATTCGAGTTTAGCAAAACCCTAATTAGTCACCCTTTACAACACGTTTTTTAGGGGACATTGGGTCTTTCTCTTTTTCCCCAGAAAGTGGGGCTTTGAAACCAACATGTGGACCCAGAGGCCAATCCTGGAGATTTTTCTAAATGAAATGAGTTAACTTGGTGATCCAATCTTTTTGTAGCTTTCTCCACATTATTTCATACTTTCAGAGGGGGCTGAGTGGTCTCGAGGTATGGTGTCTGCCCCAAGTGCTGGAGGTCCCGGGTTCAAGCCCTGGTTAAGATTAGGATTTTTTCACGTCAACTTCTAGTAATTTCCCCTGGTCTCTGGGTAGTAAGATCGGACGCCTGTGGGTATTGTTGCACACTTTAAAAAAAATCCCTTGACAGTGGGAAATCGAAGAGAGTAGCATAACAGCGCTGCCCAGGCAAAATTTGGAGTTCAAAATCAACCAAAGTATTATAGGATCCTCACCAGTGCTATGGAGTTCGTGCACTGTGCTGAGATTCTTCGGACTTAGGCTTGAGTTAGATGTAGAATGGAGCACTTGTGGGTTACTAACAGTGTGCCGTGTTGTTGATCCGTTGTTCAAATCAATCAAACCGTTTCAGTTCTTAGTCATCTTTCACAAAGGCAAGAATTCTTTGTCCGAGGTAAAATGATACTGCCATACTGCGTAAGATGTTTTTATGTAACCATGAAAGGCTAACCCAATCAACAAATGTCTACAAAAGTTGGATGTCTCTGCCGAAAGAAGCAAATATCGCAGTCATGCTGTAAACGGGCACAACGCCATTACATCTTCAGATCAACGATCAACGCAGAAGAAGAAAATTTTCATGCTATAAAATATACTTTTGCTTATTTATTTATGTTCTTTATTTCAGTCATAAGTTTCCCTCTGATGTTTCATAGGCACCACAGCCTTAATTTGTGTTTGTCTGTTGAGTTATTACTTTTAACAACTTTGCCTCTCACATTGAGAAGCACAAAACCCACCAAACCGTAAATATCTCTTTCCATTGTAATGGAGGCCTGTTTCTAAGGCTAACAGCATTGCTTCAATTATTTCCTGGGCAACTTTTTAGAATTATCTGTAATGCTGCATTTGTGTTTATTGATGACCCTGATTATTTGATTAGAAGTTAAATATTGTTTTGATCCTTAAATGGAATTGTTAGGATTGTTTGTGTGCATGCATGCATGCGTGCGCACGCACAGGACCGTGTATAAAATTATTTTTTTTAAAAAGTTTTTAAAGGGTTTGTGAAAACCTGAGATTTAAAAAATATTGGTGTTTGGCATTGTTTTTTTTTTTCTAGATAATTGGGGCAAAAGTGGCAAACGTATAATTTGAGACAACTTCGTTACTAATCTAGATACTGTTTTCTACATCAGATGTTTATTCATCCTCACTGACACACATTGGAAGGGCTGCTCCCTTAGAACATTCAGCCACCCACAACCATTCGCATTCAAAAATGACCGAAGAGCTTCAGCTCCAAAGAAGACCAAGCTATCAGTCGAAACAAATCAGTGAGGCGATTTCGAGCAACCCTCATAAGCGTAGGAAACGTCACAATTTGATTACGGCAAATCTGTGTGGAACTAGATATGAAGTTGGTATGTCTCTTTATTTGTGCAATGTTTAAGTAAAGTTGGCGTCTATGTTTTAGGGGTTGTGAATGAAGTTTCATGAATCCAGCATACCTAATTTAGTTCAGCTTCATGTGCTTTGGCAGCAGACCGTTTTGTGCTCAATTTTAAATATGTGAGAATTTCCATTCAGAAAGCGATGGTAACAAGAAGTGCCAGAAGTCAGGATATTTTTTTCAGTTGCATTTTTGTGGAAAATAGTTTGCTTGGAAGAATGTCTGAACCAATTAGCAGTTAGTAATACCAATAGAGGGTGCAAGTAAACATAGAACCAGTGCTTTTGGTATGGGGGTACACAGACCGGCAGCTTGTTTTAGGCATAATTTTTTATCAACACTACTGTAATAAACACTTTGTGCTAAGTATCATCACCTTTTTTTAGACACTTTGTGATGAATATATGCATCTTTGTTTACTGGGAAAGAAAAAAGCCATCATAGAAAAAAGGCTTGTGCTTAAAAATCCATCAGCTGTCTGTATTATTTTTAAAAGCGAAGAGTTTAAGAATGTTTGACCTTGGTAAAAATGTAGACTCAAAGAGAGAGAGAGAGAGAGAGAGAGAGAGAGAAAGAGAGAAAGAACAAATGAATAAACAGACGAATAAACAAACTTTATTTTCAAAGGGTCACAAATTGGGCACATTCGGCCCTTCCAAAAATTCATCTTTCACAGAGCAGTTGTATTTTATCAATAAAGCATGTTATGTTCATGAGAGAGAGAGAGAGAGAGAGAGAGAGAGAGAGAGAGAGATAGAGAGAGAGAGAGAGAGAGAGAGAGAGAGAGAGAGAGAGAGAGAGAAACCTTGCTTGTTATGCTTTATTATCCTATATTAACTCATCCTTGGTGTTTTTCTAGGGCGTCAGCCATATTTCTTTCTATGCAGATATTAAACAGTGTTGGGAAAAGGAGGCAGCCCTCTCAGACTCCTACTGTTGTTCAGAACCAGCTGCCTATTTGTCTGTTCTGCGTGACAGGACTACTGGCTTGGGCATATGACTGTTCTATTCTATGTCTTGATGCTATCTGCTGTTTTTAGTCTGATGTTGGACAAGGCACAACAGAGTTTGGTACCACATTGCTTGACACCCCCTCCTCCATTAAACTCCCATGTGTGCCGCTAGGGGACCACTTCTCCCAGTTTGAAAAACCACTTGTCAAGCTGCTAAACCAGCATCGCTCTCAACATATTATCTTTGAAAGATGTTTATGCTGACACAGTGTTATTTTAATATATTTTTTGTCAGTTCGGCGTACAGTAGAGAAGCTGGGTTTCACAATTGTCCCAGACGACGATCCAGCTTCGTAAGTCTTTTAACACTGTGATGTAACAAATCGTCTTAACTTTTTAAATGTAATATACTGCTGGAGAGTTCATTAAAAGAAGCCATTTAATTGATGGTTGTGTTTAAAAATAAACATGATGGTGAATCATATATAGAATAAAACATTTACAAATATCTGTCCAAAAACACAAAGTGAAGATCAAAACCTGTTTCTGATTTGAAAGAAAACCAAAATAATATATACAGGCAACACATATTTATATAAGAGAAAACCCACACATTCACATTCGTTACTGGTAATGCAACATTCCCCCCCCCCCCCCTTTAACAAGTAAAAATTTTTATAATATTGTTTGTATGTGTTATATGCTGAGGAAGGATTCCTGGCCACAATGTTCATTTTTTATTTATGTTTGTGATTTATAGGGTAGTTTACAAGTTCAGTTTCTCATGTTAGATTGATTTTTTCACTGTAACAGAGCATTTAAATGTTCTTCAGTCCAAACCAATATCTGCCCCCAAACACACAGTCGAATATTTTAGGGGAAGGTAGATAGGTTGCATGCAGTCGTGGGACCTAGGTTGCATGCAGTTGTGGGACCTAGGTTGCATTGTCTCGTGGGACATAGGTGAGTTGGAGTTAGGCCCAGTTGTAGATGTTTTGGGGTAGTTAAAAGCTTCAGAAGATCAGGAAACCTGCTTTAACCACTCTAGAAAATATTGGACTGTCCTGTGACATCATCCTAGGGGGGCAGATATTGGGAAAGCACCTGTTCTTCAACATGTAATGCCACTCAACGATCTATTGCACAACATCCAGCTGTGTTAGGTTATGTGCCCCTTGTCAAGTCTGCCAGGGTTCATTTCTCATGGTGGGCGGTTTGTTGCTTTCAGATGGTGGTATGAGAGTCACACCATGGAAGATATTGGGACCACATAATATTCTCATATTTAGCAGTACTATACTTTCAAATTTCTATTGTTTTGTGAACCGTTAGCCAATGTGAGCACAAGTACAGCACTTTGGAAGCAGAACACCTGAACCTGTTGTTCCGTATAGTTGTCAAAAATAGTGAATAATATTAGTGAATGTCCCCATGTGGGTTCCTGGGTCCCATTTTTGGGTGGGGAGAGGGAGAATAGACCCAGTCCCTTACTAAAGACTTTGGTATTTTAGCCCAAACAATGATTGGCTGTTTCTATCATTTCTACATGAAGTTCAAATGTTGGAGAATTTATTGACTGCTTTGCCCATTATGTCAAAAGTGAGTAGCTAATTAGGGATTTGCTGAGACTGGATACCTTGGGCCTGTACAGATATTGCATCTTAGCTGTAAACCCCAGCTTGTGATCCATATTTTTTTGGGCGATCAAACACAGAAAAAGAAGAAGAATAACTAAGCTGTACCCCCATTATATTAGTAGTAAAACAAGAACAGCCAACAGATGCTGGGGTTGGTTCTACAATGTCTTGTAAAGGGGACACAACAAGCATCGCTATTATGAAAGAAGTCTTCCTACCACCAGTTACATGTTTTCTGGGAGAAGTGAGTGTAGTTCCAATGAAAAGCGTTTTTTGGAGGAAAGGGTTTCAGGCCTCCAGGAGTTTTATTGTATTTTTGCCAGCTACATGTCGGATACATTTTGTCTAAACCAAAGACCTTATAATAAACATTTGAATGAGAGTAGAAAAAAAAAAGACACAAAAAGCATGAATGTGGATTATTCAAAGAGATTTTCAAACAAGTGTTTCAAATAATGTGAATGTATCACCATCATGTTGATGTCTTAATCCTGTTTGCCCAGTCCATCTTAACATCAGCCCATCTGTTTGCATTAATCCACAGATATCTGATATGGAATGACAGTTTTGTTTCACCAGATAGAATCAGTGAGCTCAAACAGTATCAGCATGTCAACCACTTCCCAGGGATGGTGGAAGTTACTCGGAAAGATGCATTGGCAAGGAACTTTTCAAAGTGAGCATGTATATCTCTCTCATATGTACAAACACTGAAGTCTGGATGCTGCTGCTGCTGCTGCTTCCGATCCTTCCTCCTTATTTGTCCCATCCTTCCTTTGTCACCACTCACCTTGTTTATCCTGAGAATGGCACTCAAATTGTTGTTTCTGTATAAAGTTGCGCTGTATTGTTAGCACCTTTCAGACCACACTTCTGAATTCAGTGTACACTGACCCAGTCTTCGTCAGCTTCATTTATGCATTTCCCTATGTGATTTGCTACCAGACTTTTTCTTTCTTGGTCTCTGTCTGCCTCTCCTTCTTTTCTAAATCTCTGTTGTTGTAATATGCAGTAGAATGCTAACAGAACTAATTGTTTTTTGCAGAATGCAGAAGGCAATACCTGATGTCTACAACTTTATTCCAAAAACATGGGTGTTACCTGCGGACTATTTGTTGCTTCAGAACTATGCCAAAGATATGAAGCAGAAGAAGAAGAATGTGACCTTTATTGTAAAACCTTCGAATGGTGCACAAGGTCATGGGTAAGAGGAAATAAAGTAAATTTTGCTTTAGATTCAGAAGATAATCGAACTAGTTTCATATATTAGGTTTCCTAAAAGATTCTCCAGTTGTTCTTTAATTTTGCCATAACCTGTGAAAAAAGATTTAATTAGTTTTATTTAGTTTGGTTAGATATTTGTTATGCCACTTTAACACTTTTGAACATAAAGCAAAAGTAAAACGTGAAATCATCAAGACAGATGAAAGTCATAAACTTATTAGAGCAATTGGACAAAGACAGTCAATACATTTTGGACATCTGAGAAGAAATAGACTTGAGAATTTGGTAGCAACTGGCATGATTGAAGGAAAGCGAGCAAGAGAAAGGCAGAGCGATAAATACATGGATAGCCTGGCCAGAAGGATGGGGCAAATATTGGTCTGATCCATGATTCTGGTGATCGTGTGAAATGGCGAAACATGACAGCCTATGCATACAGGCGCGGCACATGATGATGATGATGACACTGTAATTGATTGACAGTTTTTAAAAAAAAATTATTTATATTTTGCCACCAGATAGTTATGGTGGTAAGAATTCAGCAAATATGACTAGCTGCTTTAAGTAGCTTGTGATTATATTTTAATTAGCAGCAGTTTTTTTTTTTGTCGTAGACCTTAGTGTAATATAGATCTATGCCTAGTAAAGGGTAAAGTCTGGCATTCCCTAATCCAACTTTCCACAGATGCGAGAGATTCTTTTGACCAGGGGTAATATGATTTATGCTGTCCGTGGTACGAACTACATCAATGAAATAGGTGTTACACATAGCGGACTGTTCAGACATCTTTCCATATGCCGAATTCTCCTTCAATAGTATCTACTTATTTTAATACTCTGAGTCCCTAAGGTGTTCTCAAAAAGGAAGTCATGTCAAAATTTATCTTGCTTCTCCAGGAAAAAAGGGTTCACAAGTCTTTGGAGAAAAATCTTACCTATATTATGGGTTCTCTTTCTCCTTGTGGCCTTAATGTTCAACACAATTTCATTTAAAAAAATGTGTTTGGTTACTTTCCCTTGACTGTAACCTTTCATGCTCTCCTAACCTCTCTGGGCCTTTTCCTGCTGATTATTTGATTGCATGACAAGTAGGGAATAATGCAGTTCAAGCAGTAATGAAAACTATGGCAAGCTTCACCAAAAATCTTATTTATTTTCTGTATTTTTGTATGTAATAAGACAATTGTCTGTTTCTGTTGAATATTCTAGCCACAGTGTTAACTTTGTCATTCGGATTGTATTGGGGATAGGGGGGGGGGGGGGGGGGGAGGGGGTGACTAGTTGTGCTTCTCATTTAAAGTGATTTTGTGTGTTTGTTAGGAAGCTTTCAGATATTAGACAAGTTACACATTGTAATTTTATGGTAATTCTGTTTACATTTGTTTTAAATAGTTTTACAACCTAATAAAAATTGCTTTATTTAAATAGTAGCCTTTTTGTGATCACGTTTTCCCCTGTGGGTCCCAGGACCCCATATTTTTTTTGGGGGGGGGGGGGGGGGGGAGAGAGAATAGTCCATCTTCCCCCTTAACAAGCATGTTATAAAAGGCAACTTATTAGGGATGTTCCTTTGAAGTTGGAGTGCATCTGCCTGAAAGGCGAGAATCCACTATATCACATACAAATAAACCAGATCAACAAATGCAAAACCTCATGTTCAAGAACAAGACTAAAGCCCAGAAGTGGTTGAACAACCAGAATTTTTCACAGGAGTTGTTAGTGCTTATATTCCTTACGTCCTTCTTAGGACGTAATTTTTTGTTATTTGAAGCCCCACTCTGGCTTTTGCCAGGGGCCGCAATATAGGCAGGCCATCAATATGGCCAATTGTTTGAACGCGGTTTCTGGGACCTCTCCACGGTGATCCTCATCCGCATTGTGGCACTTTGTGTCATCGGGTGTTTATCGCTTGTGTGATGTCCTGGTGGGGTAGAAAGTCAGTCAGTCAGTGACAGGAGTTTACAGTCAGTGAACATGAAGAAGTGGTAATCAAGTTAATCAGAGATGTACCCCTGTTATGTGTGAGTTATAAACTTGAGAGTAAGGTTTTGTTTCCCAATTAGTCACAAAGTAATCCAGGCATATACAAGGGCAGGTAATCTTAGGCTGCTCCAATTTAGTTTTTGAGTAGGTTTTTTTTTTGGGTTTTGTTTTTGTGATTGGCTGCTGTTGAATTTGCGTCTGAAAAGTGGGTGTTGAGTCATAGTTGTTGATTTGTTTAACAGTAGAACAGTTTCTTTTTAACACATTCTGTCTCTGTTAATTGTTTATAATGTTAACTCCTTTTCATTAAAAAAAAAAAAGGCATTACTGTCTGTCTGTACCGCTTTTTGCAACAAAGTAGGACAAGGGTCTTCAGTCTGAGGATTTAGGGCAACATAGCTAGTGTAGTTACTAACAGTCTGTAAGTTGGGATCCTTCACAGAAAAAAAACCGTTGTCACTTCTACAAAGGGTCAAACTTAGGTCCGCTTTGAATAATTTTTATTTGTTTAAATTTAAGCCACTCGGGAAAAATAGAGTTAATATGCTGTTACCCTTTATTTCAGAATCTCGTTATTCAGAAATGCTGAGAAGATTCAGTCAAGTGAACATTACATTGTCCAGGAGTACATTGACAAGCCACTCCTTCTTGATGGGTACAAGTTTGACCTGCGAATCTATGTCCTCATAACCCATTGTGACCCACTGCGAATATTTCTCTATAATGATGGCTTGGTTAGACTGGCTACAGAAAAATATATGCCACCACAAGAGAGCAATATTGTAAGTTATGGTTTAATGTATCAGATTAAATTCAAGGAGGAATCTGTGTCACTATGAATGCTGTGTTTGTTAACAAAAACTGTGTCACTATGAATGCTGTGTTTGTTAACAAAAACTGTGTCCTATTCATCGAATGTCTTACTGACTAGCATGTATGGAAATGTGGAATTGAGCTTACTGCATTAAATCTAAAAGATTTTTTTTTTAATTAAAGAGAGAGAGAGAGAGAGAGAGAGAGAGAGAGAGAGAGAGAGAGAGAGAGAGAGAGAGAGAGAGAGAGAGAAACAAAGGTTGTGCTGCTTTACCTCTATGAACAAAGTGATGACGAGAAATAAAACAATACAAAATGGACTAACTCTAAAGTGACTACATTTTGATATTCAAATATAGGTAAAAAAAATATAACAAAATAATAATAAATGCCAGATTGGAATAAAGTATGTGATACTTAACTGGATGGCCGACTGGCATGGGCAATCATGTCTCTCCACAACTTGTGATCCTAGCTTTGTGTGCTGACACCCTTCCATGCCATGACAAAAGGATGTCAAGATTTTTCTCATTGTCTTCCTCTGTTTCTCTTTCTGTAAATTTTTCCAGTTATCACAACATGTTCCAGTTTTCCTCTTCTTATAATGTGATCAACAAAAACTTTGCTGCCTCATTCTGATGTTTGTGTCTTAGCCCATTTCAAAACATTAAGATTATTCATTTTGGCTGTCCAAAAAATGTTAAGCTAACTTCTCTAAAACCAGTTGAAACCTTACATATAAATATTTATAACATTTGTTTTCTTTATCCAGCACCGGCTATTTATGCACCTGACAAACTATGCAGTAAACAAGCGCAATGAACTCTACGACAAGAACATGGCATTTGACACAGGCAGCAAAAGATCTATTCGGTACTTTAACGAGTACCTTCAGCGAAGCGATATTGATGTGGGCTTATTGTGGCGAAGGATCGCTGACATGATTGTTCAGACATTGCTGGTTGCACAGCCCCATGTTCTACATGCTTATCGAATGTGCCGACCTGGTGTTCCGTTCGGAAGCAGCAGTGTTTGTTTTGAGATTCTTGGTTTTGATGTCATGATTGACCGCAAACTGCGACCTTGGCTGCTTGAGGTAAGAAATTGGTTAGTTCCTTGTATTTACAGTCTGAAGTTTTTCTTTGTGTTTCATCTCCCAGGTAAGGCCCACATTCAGTCAAGATTTGATTTCTGGATGATTGTTGGGTTCTGCAACTAAAGTTTTCTATGGGATGATGTAGCAAGCACCAACTTAGTCCTCTTGTGGTAGACTGCAGTGTTGTTGCCCAGGATTTCCTTCCCATTCTTCTTCTTCCTTATATTTGTCTTCTTTTTCTTTACTGATGTACTTAATCACCCAGTCCAATGTTTTTCTATGAGGGAGGGGAACAGTATTTTTTTTCCCCCGTTTTTTTAAAATTCCCTCCTATGGACAGCAACTTGAAAGTTTGATACCCAGGGATTTGAAGAGTCACACTTCAGATGCCAGTTTGACCAGCAACGTAAGCAGCAATAAACAGTGAACAAGGGTTGACATTAAACACCCAGATGCCACTACTGTGTCACTGTCAGCCCCTATGTGATGAACTTGCTCCAACTACAAGGCAGAACTCTCAGCCTTGTTGATTGCAGTATAGTATACAAACAGGCTGCACACCTGCAGGCAGGATGGTTTTTCTTCACAGACTCACTGTCAGCTATTAGGCTCTAGAGGCCAGAACTACTGACAGTACACTACATTCTAAAAAGTGAACTTGATACGCTGTTTAACTCTTTGAGTCCCAGAGGGTTTAGCATCACAGGCCCAAGGGTTAGTCAAGAGAGATGTAAAATCAGCGCATTATGCGTTCATTAGGCTTCTATGCAGTAACCTATGAACATATGATGCGTTCCTTGGGACTCGGAGAGTTGAAAAAAAATTTTAAAAACCGCAGAAACTCACTAGCAGTGGATTTCATCTCACTGTGGCATCCAAGATGATGAAAGTGCTGATGCTTTAGCAGAGGAAGGCAGCACCAAACAACAAATTTACCAGCTGGGACAAAGTGGATAAAGCATATAATAAGCAAATGACCAAAGATAGCTAAAGAAGAAGCTCCCACTCCTACAGGACCAATTTCAGATACCCCATTCAGAAATATAAAACAGTTGTACTGGGTCACACTATAGCTGTCTCTTAACACCTAGTGCTACCCTTCTGTCTCATTTTGTGGAGTGTTTTATTAGTTTCAAGATATTTTGTGCTTTATTGTGTGCAGGCAGAAGCTGTTAATTAACTTCATGCTGCCTAGTCGGCCAGAATAGAAACATAAATTGTATCGACCATTGTTTTTTTTACCTATGTAAATTAGTGTCTTCAATTTCAAATAATACTTGAAAGTTTGTTATAGATCTCTCTCACTCACCCACCCACTCACCCACCCATTCATGGATAGTGCAATGGAGCAGATAGATAATCCAAACACTGAAAGATTAATTCAACGTAGAGTTGAGTAGCGGTAATGGAAGATGTTCAGCCCACATGGGGGAACATAGGCGGACCTTTCATCAGGTTTTAGCTGGTGCTGCTAGCATGCTGATTCTTCATTGGCTACTGAGGAAGGAGACGGAGCATGTGTGGAAATTCCCCAAGTGCAGCGATGTCAGTTCTTGATTCACTGACTGACTGACTCACTCACTTACTCACTCACATACTTACTCACTCACTCACATACTCACTCACTCACTCACATGCTCACTCACTCACTCACATGCTCACTCACTCACTCATGCACTCGCTCGCTCACTCACTCACTCACTCACATACGCATGCACTCACTCACTCATGCACTCAAATACTCACTCACTCACATACTCACTCACTCACTCACATACTCACTCACTCACTCATATACTCACTCATATACTCACTCACTCACTCACTCACTCACTCACTCACTCACTCACTCACATACTCACTCACTCACTCACTCACATACTCACTTACTCCCTCGCTCACTCACTCACTCACATACTCAGTCACTCACTCACTCACTAACTCTCTCACTCACATACTCATGCACTCAAATACTCACTCACTCACATACTCATGCACTCAAATACTCACTCACTCACATACTCACTCACTCACATACTCACTCACATACTCACTCACATACTCACTCACTCACTCACTCACTCACTCACTCACTCACTCACTCACTCACTCACTCACTCACTGTGTATTGAGGGAAATGTATAAACCCATGCAGGTGAACAGATCTCCAAGCTTAGGCACAGATGAGAAACTGGACTATGAGATCAAGTCAGCCATGCTGGAAGATACCCTCAGACTTTTGGATATCAGGTAGATTGAAGCGTGTACTTTATATTTTAGGAACTCTTTCACAGTACCAACTTTACACTGTTATCTGCTTTGTATAGTTCTCTGTAGCACTGGTCCTCATGTCTGTCCACAATCTTTGTCTTCTCTACCATGACTGAGTATATGAAGAATACCAGCAGTGCAAATAGAACATCACTGTCTTGAGAGGTTGACACAATGAGGTGAACAGAAGAACTGGCCAACACTAAGTGCTTAGAGGGAAAGGTTGGAAAAACATCAAGCAGACTACCGCTGGCACTGTTGGTATTGACACTTTGTGCTGACTGCTGAAGTTGAGGCCAGAGCTCTTCTGGGAATTCTCTGGGTATTGTAATCTTTTAACTGCAATAAATTCTAGTAAATCCATTCACAAAGAATAAACTCAATCTTATTCATGTTTTGAACAAATCGCTCTTCTTTTCATCAGGTTCATAACACAAATATGAGTATATTTAAAAAAAAAAAAAAAACACACGCGCGCACACACAGACAATTGAAAGCATGGCATCCTTATTTCTTTTTCTACATTTATGCCTACTTGACATTTTTCTGCTAAAAATTATCCATGGATTTTTTTGGGTCTATTTTAACATGTTTTTGAACCTAATTGAACTGACTATCTGGAATATTTTATCTATAACATTTGTATCTTAATATATGTGTCTCACTAGGAAATGTCCTAGGAAATAAAGGTATCATGCTTACTACATGTCTGCCGATTGGTCTGTAACCATAATGATCTAGCACCATATACCCGATGCACCCCTGCTGTGATAAGAGTCCCTCACTACTAATAAATCTGTGACTCAGCCTCACTTAACTACTATGTGTGGGCAGCCTTTTTACTTCCGCGGACCAAATTGAAAATTACCAACCTGGTCATAGGTCATATAGAAAAAAATTAATTATAAACACAACAACTAGATTTCCGCATAACACTGTATTTCTGTGGATCAATTGTAATCCCTGGCTACACCTCTGGCTAGATATACTTACCTACTGAAGCCTTTCTATATATTCTGAAATATCTTTGTTCAGAGAAAAGGAATGGTTGTCGCCTTATATTTTATTTTCAAAATCCACTGACTGACACTGACTCCTAACCTCTTCTGGCCCTTAAATTTTGACAGACTTAGTTCACATTATTTTCCTTTACAAAAACTGGTAGGGGGTTGTAAAATAATTGCAGTAGAGAGTGTAAAAAATTTCTTATCCCAATAAAATCTTTTTTTCTAAAGAATGAATGTACATTTTGAATCTGATGCGATAATGTATGATTAACGCTGTTACAGTTATTTGAAGAAAAATAAAAGAATTCATCAGGTGTTATATTTACAAAAAAAACTTTTTTTTTCAAACAAATTCTTCACTCACCATTGTTTTGCAGCCACAAGATCAGTAAATAAATATTGTCTGGAAGGAAGAGCTTGAAAAGAAAGGGATGACCATCAGTGTCTCCAAAACTAAAACCATGGTGATCTCAAGAGAGGAGAAGAAACACCAGATCATGATGGGTCAGTATGCGTTGGAGCAGGTTAACCAGTTCAAATACCTTGGAGTTGTATTAGACCAAAATGGAGGCATTAAGACTGAGCTGGCTACACGAAAAGCAGCTGCTGGGAGACTCTTCCAGGCCATAAACCGAGGGTTTCTTAGCAAAAGAGAAATTGGCAAGAGGACGAAAATGGCTGTTTACCGCTCTACCTATGTACCAGTCCTGACCTATGGGTGTGAGTCATGGGCAATGACAACAGCTCACAGAAGCCAGCTGCAGGCCTCGGAAATGAGATACTTGAGAAAGGTGGTCCAAGTGACAAGAAGGGACAAAGTCCGCAATCAGACAATACGTCAAGATCTTGATACCCAGCCCTTACTAACCCGAGTGGATCAGTCACAGTTACGATGGTTTGGACATGTGTGCAGAATGGGAGAAAATCGGCCACCATGGCAAGCATGGGAGGCTAAGAACCAGGGAACCAGACCTCCAGGACGACCCAGGGTGCGCTGGGAAGACAACATCCGACAGTCCCTGACTGACAGAGGACTGGAATGGAACAAAGCCAGAAAGAAAACTGCTGATAGAGACGCCTGGCGATCTCTCTGGCAAACCTCTACACCCCAAGGTAGAAGAGGAGCGACTAAGTAAGTAAGTAAGTAAGATCAGTAAATATCCAAATGTGAGAACAATAATTTATAGTTTGTTCAGTTTCCTAACAAATTCAAAAGTTGTGATAAGTTTTTGGATTAGTTTATCACTCAGCTGAATACAATTTCAAAGATAATTGCAGACAAATGGACAATTACACACTAAATATTCACTTTGTACAGTTATATAGACTATTGCTGCAATGATTTCAGTTTAAGTTTTTATTATCATAATGAGAATTAAGAACAACTGAAACAGTTTCCAAGCTTCAGATACAAAAAGGCACATTTTGCCGCCTGCCCTTGTGTTTGAGATTGGTATCTATAGTTGAAGAAAATCGTAAATCGGAAAATTTGATGTCTGAAAAGGACACTAGCATTGAATTGGATAAATTTGCACCTAAATGTATGAACAAAGATTTGTAAACATAGCAAAAATGCTAGAGTAAACTTCCCTTAATATTTTAATGGTAGTTCCAAACATTAAAAACTAATATGACACAGTAAGTGAATCACCGTGTGTGGGATACACAGTCGATGCAGACTGTGTGGTTTGGGCAAATCGGAACTTCTCAGTCAGCACACATAGCGTTGCTCTGACCTGAACAAGTTTATGTCTTAGTTTGTCTGCAACACGTGTTTCACTAGCAGGATTATAGATTCGGTGACATCAGTTTCCGCTTATCATTTATTTGAATTTTGTTTCTTCTGCATAGGAACATAGGTTTTTGTATTCTTTTTTTTTATGAGCTCAAGGACCAGTTTACATAGTAATTTTATACCAGCCCTGTAGGCCAATAAACATATCTAGGTGAGCTAGTTTTGACCCACAGGTCACAGTTTGCCCACTCCTGATCTAACTCATAAGGTCATTATATAACTCTCCATAACTTTTCATTACTATATATCGGTAGTCATCCTTTCTAAGTCTTACTTTATTTTTTGAAGCAATAAAAAGGAATGCAGTATTATACACAGTATTTGTTAATTATTTATTTATTGTTTCTATTTATAACAATAAGCGGCGTCCGTGGCCTAGCTGTTGCGTGTCCGACTTGTAATTCTAGCGTACCGTGATCAAAACAAACTGTCAGCTGCATGGATTTTAATCATGGTAATGGGTGTCACAGTTCGACCCAGCCTAAAATGAGTACCAGGGTGAATGTCCTGGGGAAGTAAAGACGGCCGAAGTAATGCTGACTACATTACCCACCTAGTGCTGAAAAATATGGGTGCTCTTCTCAAATGCCCAAAGCACCTAAAGCCGTGAAAGGGGATACTTGTTACATATTTATAACAATAGTTTATATGGGAAGTACTTTATGTTTATAAATATTTTTGAATGTAATTTATGTAAGTACTTTTTATGTAATTTATGTTTATTCATTAGAGTTGGAGATAAACGGAAAAACATCCAAGCTCAGAAAGCTGAGGCTCAGAAGCGTTTATTTCGATTAAATCGCAAAGCTGGTATTCTGGATTTTACTGTGCTTAATAAGAGGAGTGCTCAAAATGAGAAACGGAAAGAAGAACTGGTAAAGTAAAAACATTTTTTAAATAATTAAAAACAGTTTAAATACTGGATCATCAAAAATGATTGCCAGGTTTTTAAACTGTTAGTTTAAAAGAAGTATTTAATGCATCTATACTTGCGACATCTTGAAATGTTTAGAAAAGTTAACAGTTTTAAACTTACCTTAGTACACTTTGATATGGGCATCACTTGTAACTCTGGGGATGTCAAGAAGGTATACAGTCTGCCTCCGCGTCTGCTGAATCGTGACCAGATTAAAGTTACAATCCTCTCTTTATTGTGCTGGAAGTTCCGCATCTTCTCAATGCTATTTTAAGCCTCACAGTAGTAGCAGCAGCAGCAGCAGCAGCAGCAGCAGTAGATTTTACCCCACCAGGACATCACTCAAGCGATAAACACCCGATGACACAAAGTGCCACCATGTGGATGAGGATCACCATGGAGAGGTCCCAGTAACTGCGTTCAGCCATTAGACCATATTTATGGTCGGGTTATTTTGCGGCCCCTGGCAATAGCTAGAGTAGGGCTTCAAATAACGAAAAATTGCATCTTACAAGGAGTTGACTATTTTATTTAAATATATATATTCTAAGCCTTACAACTACACAAGGCCACATAAAACATTGAACCTTTCTGAATATTTTAGGACACCACACATGAATATTCAATACATATTACTTTAAAAAAATAATAATGGTTAAAAATCCTGCCAATCATTCTTGATGTACCTATATTAAAGAAGACGTTGAAGAAGAAGAAACTGGAGGATGAGGGGCAGTGAACTTAAAAATTAAGTGAATTTAAGAAACAAATAATGAAATAATTTTTTATTGAAGAAGAAGGGCCATAATAATCATCTTCCTCTGTTTTCTGTTGTACCTCCTTCTTTTTCTCTTTCTTGTCCTTTCCTTCTTCCTTTACTACCCTTCCTCTTTTTTTTTAAATGTTACAGAAAATGAATTCTTGTAGATCTCATATCCATTAGTGCCAGTTTGTAGATATGATTCAATTTTAATTGAGCAAGCCATTTTATAAAATTATTAGTGATTGTAGTATAGTGGTTAGTGATCTGGTATACCAGCACAGTAGTTGGTTCACAAGTGCAATTTTTATGGAAACTCATGGGAATCATCAGTGGAACAACGGTGTCTGTGCTTTGTTCGATTATCTCGGCTGGTAGCTAGCCATTCTATGGAAAGAGACCGAGCCATATGTGATAAAACCTACTGCAATGAACTTGATCCTCTTGACCTTAATCTTTAACCTTTATTGTGTCAAACATGGTGAATTTCTGCGTGACAAAATGTTGTACATTTTTGTCTATTAAAAAAATTAATTTCAGAAAGATCTACTTTACAAAGTCAGAAAGATTGCATCTAAGGAAGAGTTTGAACGACGAAACTGCGGCCGGTTCAGGAGAATCTTCCCCAGTGATAACCACGAAAAACAGGATCATTATTGCAAAATAATGAATGAAGCCTTCTCAGTGTTTCTAGCTGGACGGGGTGCCAGCATGCAGAAGGAAATTCAAGTGAATTATGGAAACAAATACAAGGTTTTGAACATTTTTTTATCTTTTATCCGCTGTTTTATTTCTTCACTCAAAAGTCTTCACCAGCGGAAGTTAGGGGATGTTTACAAAATATACTGCACACAGACACATTACAAAACATTTGTAGGTAAAACTGAAAAACATATTGTACTAAAAACATGAATTATATCGCACACAGAAACATTAAAAAAGATACCACACATAGAAACATTACAAAATATATTGCACATCGAAGCATTATAAATTATATCACACACTGAAACATTAAAAAAGATACCACACATAGAAACATTACAAAATGTATTGCACATTGAAGCATTATAAATTATTTTGCCCACAGAGACATTATAAAATATGATGCGCACAAAAACATTTTTAACAACTGCACAAAGAAGCATTTCACAAAATTTTGAACATGGAAGCATACAGCACACAATGACATTAAATTCTATGATCGTTTATTGTAACTGTTTTCTGTAGAGTGATATGTAAATTATATTTTCCTTCTTTATGTCAGATTTATTGTTGTCATCACAGTGGTGCTTATTTTTTAAGTTTTTTTAAATTGTTAGATGTAAACTGACATACACTTTTCCCAACACATTATTGTTTTTTTTTAATATTTTCACTTCGTTACTACAGCTCAATTCATTTTTTTAAATGAAATTTATTGCTGTGATGTTGCCCCTTTTGTTCAAGTGTTCAAGCATTGAATTGTGACCTGCACTGATGAAAACAAACATGACTTGATAACTTGACAATCACAGATTTACAAAAATATGTTCTTCCTGTCGATCTGCTTCATTTGCTGTTACACTCTGTTCACTGCTTGTCAGGCAGCCGCCTCTAACAGTCTAGAGTTGACTTTTCAGCGTACATGTCTCAGCTCAGCAACCATTTATACTTCACACTGTTTGCAAATTCGAGTAAATCCTCCTGGAAAAAACATACACTCTTAACTCAGCACAACTTCAGTGTCGCAGTTGCTGGCAGTAAGGAATATACATACTAGAGGTTGGACTAAGTTGCCACCACTCACGTCCAAGTCGAGTCTCTAGTCGCTGCTACCGAGTCCCAAATCAAGTCTCAAGTCACCAAGAATGTTTCCAAGTCCAGTACCGAGTTAAGTCACTTCCTGTATCAAGTCATCTGCAAGTCATGCATGGGAAACAGCTTACGGGTCAGTCAAAAACTGTGAAAATACAAAATTTGGCAGTGCAAAAAAATTCACTAATTGGATATAAAAGTGGAAGAAGTAAAATATGAAGCTTGATAAATAAATAAATTAAAAAAAAAGAATTTATTCTGCCGTTTTAAAAAGGGACATTTAAAAATGTGATGTTGATCACCAGATTTCACAGTGGTTGGCCGCAAAGAACCAGTCGTACCAAGTCGCTGAAACTACAACGTTGCCAATCGAGTCAAGTCTCTGGACAAAATCTCAAGTCGAGTGGCAAATCATTAATTAACAAGTCTCTGGACAAAATCTCAAATTGAGTGGCAAATCATTAATTACGTGATCTAAGTCAGATTCCATTCCAAGTCATGTGACTTGGGTCCCGACTTCTGAAAACATAGATGGCCAGGTTTACTTTGCCAAAAACACTTTCACAACTGCAGTCACTCACTAGACTCAGCTATGCATTGAAATTCACCACTCTGACCCATGCAAGCACCACCCAGAATGCCCTCCAATCTTTCTGGCATTGCATGTTTTTCTTGCCAATTCATGTCATTTATTAACATCACTCATTTTCTCACATAATACTTGTGTTTTCACAGTGTTTGATCCACTATCAACCCATGGACATCACTGCATTTACATACATACAGCACATCTTAATTTCTTCGGGGCTTTCCATCTTTAGCCAATGATCATCTAAGATCTACTTCCTACCCATTATTTATATAAACTGGGGTTTCTTTTGATGTCTAAAGGTAATCCTTAAAACTACACCATTACAATTGCACATATAAATATTTCAGAATTGAAGAACCTGAACCTGTTGTAATCTCAGGACACTACAAATTTGAAGAACTCTGAAACTGTTGTATTTTCAGGACATTACAAATTTGAAGAACTCTAAAACTGTTGTATTTTCAGGACATTACAAATTTGAAGAACTCTGAAACTGTTATTTTCAGGACATTACAAATTTGAAGAACTCTGAAACTGTTCTATTTTTAGGAGGATGAAATCCTTGACATGATAGCCGAATGTGAAACATATGAGAGGGATTGTGGGATTTATCCTGGCAGGAAGCCACTTTTTGGTCCTAAGGTGGTAACAACTTACTGTCTTTGAATAAATGTTTGTGTTTCTGTTTGATGTGGCTGTGTTAAGATTGCTAGGCTCTAATTTGAGAGATCCAAGTTTGAGTCCTCCTGATGGATTTTTTATTGTGGAGCACAAAGACGATCATAATCTACTTAGTTCATTTCAGCTGCACCAGCCATGTGGCCCTAAATCCTCAGGTTCAAACCACCCCTCCCCCCAATCCCATACAACAGTAAAAAAATTATTCCTACAGGCACAGTATAGACAGTTAAAGACAGTCACTTTGCTAAAGATGCATCTGTTGTTGAGGCAACCAGTAGAGAAAGAAGCAGAACCTAATAACTTGCTCAACACTGAAAGCGGTGAAAGAGGAAGTGAAGAAGTAGACTTTGGTAAAGGGTCACGCGCACTGCATCTTGATATCTTCATAAATTCTCTCAGCTCCTCTCAGAAAGCTCAGAAAAAGAATTTCAGCAACCAAGAAAGCTAACCTGGTCAATCAATGCCTGATTAGTTCAGATGTGAGGCTCAACTCACATTATACCTAATAACACTTCCTGTCCTTTTTAGGAGGAAATTTTTTGTTTTTTGAAGCCCTACTCTGGTTCTTGTCAGGGGCCGCAATATAGACCGCCCATAAATATGGCCTAAAGGCTGAACGCGGTTTCTGGGACCTCTCCACGGTGATCCTCATCCACATGGTGGCACATTGTGTCATCGGGTGTTTATCGCTTGTGTGATGTCCTGGTGGGGTAGAAAGTCAGTCAGTCAGATGTGAGGCACCTAGGTGTAACCAGAGGGTCTGGCCGGCTGACTACACTCAGAGGAAAGGCAAGTCAGACATATAACCAGATAGTGACCGGTACCATCAGTATTGGAACTCTGTGCTGGCTGCTGAAGATGAGGACGGAGCACATATGGGAATGCCTTGACTGCTATGATATCGATTCTTGACTCAACTCAATTCAGATGTGTTCATGAAAGCACAAATATTGCAACTCTGCTACAGACAGGCACACTGCAATTGTGCCCAAAACAAAAGACAAATTAGATGAATATAGAAGTAGAAGAATCTCAGCAAGAGGTACAAACGTTGGCGTGTTTCGTGTCCTTTATTCCCTTGGAGCTACTACTACCCGAAGGTGTGAGACCCTAAGGTCACAGGATCTTCTTCTTAGTGTCCACTGGCAGTAAATTCTGGCAGAAAGTTCTTGTTGTTCATCCACTTCTGGACCTCAGTCTTGTTCCAAAACTTTAAATTTGCATGTGCATCTATTTTACAGACCTGGCTTTCTTGTATGCAGACTGTTGGTTCCTTGCCTCTCATGCAGATGTACTTTGACTTCAAAGGAAAAACCCCTAATTAGTCGCCTTTTACAACATGCTTGTTGGGGGAGGGGGGGGGGGGGTTAATCTATCCAACCCCCCCATCCGCCCCCAAATGGAGCTCTGAAACCTACATGAGGAGAACACAAGATCCGAATCTGGATGGCAGACCACCAGGGCAGATCCAGTATACCCCATTCAACCTAGAACACTATCATCTAGAAAGGCGGAAAGGTGCCGACATAACGGCACAAAGATGGATCCCTGTCTTGTCATGTCAAACTCAAGTAAAGGGTACTTTTCACACATTCAGACACAGGGCAAAAGGTGTCAGCTCTATGTTTTTTTAGACCAGTCATCACTCGATGAGTGATGTGATCAACATCATGCTGACTGCCTTTTTTTCTCCAGATATTTCCTGGTACCCGTTATAAGCTGGGGCCATTTGGTTTATTTTGGAAAATCTGGCTACATGTGAAATTTGAACCTATGTCCACCAGGCTGGAAGACTAGCTGTCCTTTTATGGGCTGTCTCTTCATTTTTTTTTTTGTCTACTACTTCTTCTTTTTTTTTTTATTATTATTAATAGTGTTCACCATCTTTGGCAGAAGATTCTGGATGTTTATCCACTTCTGGATGTTTGTCCACTTCTGGACTTTAACCTTCCAGAACTTGACTTTTGCATGCACATCCATTCTGCATACCTGGCTTTTTGTGTGTGTGCAGACTGTTGGTTCCTCGCCTCTCAGGTAAATACACTCTGTCTTCACAAGAAACAGCCTTAATCAGTTGACTTTTGTAACATGCTTTTTAGGGGAGTAGTGAGTCCCTTCTTTTTTATCCCAAAATCCACAGGTGGAAATAGGTTATCTGAAATGGAAAAGTTAGGATCAGTATACACATCTTGTTCCTTGTTACTTGTTGTCTATATCGACATCCTAGCACATCTGTCCAACCCATTCCTTCTCCGTCCCCCCATGCAGCAGCCATCTCAGAGTCTCCATGTTCCCTGTACCAAGCAGGAAATGACTGGCATATCTTCTTTCTTTGCTCCGTGACCACCTGTTTCTTGTCATCGCTCAATACCCATTTCAAACAGGCACTTCATTATGTATTGCAACAAGTTTACAGTCTTTTCTTCCATTCTGCTTTGTCCTGTGCAATCCCTTTGGCTTCACTCATCATCGTTCTTTTTAGGGTTTCTTTTTTGGATATCCTTATTTCCTCAAACCCTCTGTTTCCTATTTCAGTTCCTGTTTTGTTATTCTCGTTTCTTCTCCTGATATGTCCAGTAAAGTGCCATCTTCTCTGTCTTATATCTGTTGATACTAGTGGTCACCCAGACATTTCTCTTTTCTTCTTTACCTTAAGAGAATTCTGTTTACATACACAGTGGGACCTAAGCATATGAACATAATCTATTTGGAGGTGGCAATTAAATTCACAATCGTTTGAGTTCCAAGCACAAATTGTATATTTTCCTAAATTTGTGTATATATATATATATATATGCCTGTGTGCTCGCTTGTGCATGTGTCATCCACAGGGTAAAGAAAAACGAAAAGGTTGAATATGAATTGAAGTAATTATTTTATTTCTCAGCCCTTACAGAGTATGCCAGAATCCCTACCTGCACCTTCGAGACAAGATACCATGGATGAGGACATTGATGACATTGCCTCTAGCATCAACAGCAGACACAGATCTCTGTCATCAGGGTCCGGATCAAGGTCCAACAGCCGGAGAAGAAAGCCCATTGGAGGTTCTAGCTCGGTACCAACCTCTGGGGAAGTCAAGGTTGTGGGGAAGGGTCAGAGGCCTTTCTCTCAGCCCATTCATGGAGGAGTGGGAGGCCAGGACAGGTCCAGGAGTCTTACTCGTGCTGCTGCTGCTAGCAAAGTCATACTGCTGCCGAGGTCAAATGTACGGGCTGTTTGTTATATATGTGTTATGTGTCTGTCTGGGCTGCTTGTATCTGTCTGCCAGTCTGCTTGTGTGTGTCTGTCTGCCTATATCTGCTAAATGCCAGTCTGTCTGTCTTTCCACATTTGTAGGTCTTCTCTCCTCTTTATTTGACTGACTGCCTGCCAATATGTCTCTCAATCTTTATCTGACTCCCTCTCACCCCTTTAATTATTAGGCCATGCTTTTACCAGGTTTTGTGTAGAACATTGCTCATCACAATTGATTATTTAATATTAATCTGACATGAATACAATTTTGACTGAGCATTGTTGTTGTTTTGTTTTTTTGAAATGAAAGAACCTGCTTTTCACTTTACTTTACCTTAACACTATTCAAGAGGAGGACAGTCATCTGCTTATCTGAGTTTTAAAATATTGCACTGTAACGATTCATTTCCCTGACTCACCCCTTTTTCATACCCAGAATGACTTTAATATCCTGTGTTTGGCGATCTGTCAGTTAAGTCCTGCCTGTTTTAGTATTATCCTTTCTGTTACATTAATCTTGTTGCCCTGAAAAAGCCACTTCTGACTTTTTACGGGTTTTCGATGACCTTACGTCTATTTAAGATTTTAAAAAAAGAAGAATAAGAAGAAAATAAATTATTAAAGTGTGCTGGTAAAACAGTGTCTTTCATGATTTTCCACATTTTCTTATCTTCAACACAACCGAATGTCTTCTTGTAGTTTATAAAACAAGCATGAAGATCTATTTAAGATTTTTTAAAAAGAAGAATAAGAAGAAAATAAATTATTAATGTGTGCTGGTAAAACAATGACTTTCATGATTTTCCACATTTTCTTATCTTCAACACAACCGAATGTCTTCTTGTAGTTTATAAATCAAGCATGAAGATCTACTGTGTATGCTGCGTTACTGAAACATGGTTCTCATATTGGATGTGTGATCCCTGGTACCTCTGCCCCGTATGAAACCTATGTCTATTTGTAATTCATTTTCTAACTTCTTTTCAGTTTTCTTCATGATGTTTTACAAGAGAATCCAGCTAGCGTGACTTATTTATGTGATTGATTACAGTGTGCAGCGCAAAACAACCACCCTCAGTCTACTTGATGATGAATACCCACAGAACCTTTGGGTCCGTGTTTACACAGATGGGTCAGCAGAAAGCGCAGTCAGAAACGGAGGTGCAGGAGTGTACATTGAGTATCCTAATAATACCAGGGATACATCCAAATTACCAACGGGAAAGCACTGTCACAACTATGATGCAGAAGTTCAAGCCATCAAGATAGCGGTAGAGAAACTACTAAATACAGGGTATTTTTCACAACCAGTGGTATTCCTGACAGATGCAAAAGCAGTACTTCAGTCACTCCAGTCTGGAAAATTACCAAGCATACGGACACTATTATCCGAACTAGGCAACCGCTGTAAATTAGTAATGCAGTGGATACCTTCCCACTGTGGAGTTCCCGGAAACGAAAGAGCTGATAAACTAGCTAAGGAAGGTGCAACTGAAGAACAACCTGACATACCAGTCTCTTATCAACAGAAGAAGAGAATGATCAAATCAATCAGAATGCCACCGAAACTGGCACAAGATGATTACCATATTATGGACAGACCAGAGCAAGTCATTATCCTTCACCTTAGAACAGGGCACAATCGACTTCGCTCCCACATGTACAACAAATTCAAGATTGGCCAATCAGCCATGTGTACTTGTGGACTGGCACCCGAAACAACAGATCACACCCTTCAAGACTGTCCCAGATTCAACGCTTTCAGGCAAAACCTTTGGCCAAAAGAGACACTTGTGGAGGTCAAACTTTACTGGCCGCTTAGTGAATTACAAAAGACAGTGAAATTCATACTAGAGACGGCTTTGCAGATATAGACAATTTATATCATGCGAACGAAAGAAGAAGATTTATGTGATTTTACTATAAATGACTCATATTTTAAAGTCTGTAAATGTGAGGTGGGTGTAGAATATTGTCTGGCATGCTTTGGGTAAAAAAACCTGGCAACTTGGATCTTGAGACATACAAATGGATGCTTGCTTTCCGTTCTGGTTAACAGAACATAACCCTTGACCTGTTAGGGTCTTGGAGGTACATCGATGGAAGCACTAGAACATAAAACCCGCCATCTTTCTCTGTCTTCCGCTTGATGAATAAGTGTATGATAACAGTCCATTTCTTGATGTTGTCATTTCAAGTTCTTCTTTGCCCTCCTTATCTTCAGACTTTGTATTGTTAACTCTTTAAGTCCCAGAGGGTTTAGAATCACAGGCCCAAGGGGTAGTCAAGAGAGACCTAAAATCGGCGCATCTTGCGTTCATTGGGCTTCTAGGTAGCAACCTATGAACGTATGATGCGTTTTTTGGGACTCAAAGAGTTAATTTTACCTTTTCTGATAAAAATTTAGGTTTTTTTTTGCCTTTGCTTTCAGGTTTGTTATCTGGATCGTTACCCTGAAGCTGGTTTATCTCAGTGATTAATATGTTTACTTGATGTTCTGGTTTGAATCCCCATTAAGACAGGCTGTTACAGTTGACTTGGACTCTCAAGCTGACCTAGCCTTAAAATGGTTAACCAGGAAATATTTTGGGAAGTAAATGTGGCCAGCATGAAATTTACCACAACACGTCAAGTATTTGCACCATGAGCTCAGTATTCATTCTTCTTCTTCCTCTTCATGTTCACTGGCTGTAAACTCCAGCAGAAAGTTCTGGATGTACCGGAAAATAACGGTTGTTTATACACTTCTGCATTTTCAAGCTCCAACACTTGAGTTTTGTGTGCACATCCGTTTTTCCAGATGTGGCTTTTTTATATGCAGACTATTGGTTACTCACCTTTCAGTTGGGGAAAAGGGGGGGGGGGCCTCTTACAGTGAGGCCTGAGACCCATATGGGGAAAAGCCTGGAAACAGATCCTTCACTTTCAATAACTTTCATAGTATCCAACTTTTATACAGCAACTCCTCATTAACATGAAGTCCTAGGCACTGAAAAATAAATAGTTTGGATTTTTTAAACACCACACACAAAAACATGCTAATTGGAGCCTTATACATTTAATAATACATGTACATCCCAGTGGGTATCAACATTTTCTTTTAGTTAAACCCTCTGAGTCCCAGGGAACGCATCATACGTTTATAGGTTCTTACCTAGAAACCCAATGAACGCATGATGTGTTGATTTTAGTCTCTTTTTACTACCCATTGGGTCTTTGATGCTAAACCCCCTGGGAATAGAAGAGTTAACCAAGTATTCATCTAAAGTCAGTTTGTGTTAACTAGGTTTTTACTGTAGTATAAAACTCAGTTTTGAATGTTGTACATTTTTGTTTTAGGCTGTAAACACGCAGAACATGATGCAGAAAGAGAAAGAAAATGAGTTCACAAAGAAGACATTGATATCTCTGAGAGAAATGAGAATCAAGTTTCCTGGGAAAACTGATGAAGAAGCAGAACTGTTGTTGGACGAGGTAATTCTTACCTGTTTTATTTTTTGTGTTTGGCTTTGTTTGTTTGCATTCACTGGCTGTAAACTCTGGCAGAAAATCCTGATTGTTCATCCACTTCTGGACTTTGGTCTTGTTCCAGAACTCATGTTTTGCATGCACATCCATTTTAGAGAAATGAATTATTTGTATGCAGACTGTTGGTTCCACAACTCTCAGGCAGATGCACTCTGACTTGGGTCTATTTATTTTCCCCCAAAAATGGGACCACGGACCCCACATGGAGAGAAGATTAAATGATTGTCACTCTGTCGCGATGCTTTAGTTCATCAACATCAACATGTTGGGCTGATAAGAGTGGACAGTCATGGTTTGCAGTCTCACATGATAACCAGAGTCTAGCTCAGGCTTGTGATCTGTTTTGAAGTTTCACTTATATCCAGTCATCTCCTTGTGAGATGTAATTTTTCTTTATTTTGAAGCCCCACCCTGGCTCTTGCCAGGGGCCGCAAAATAGCCCGACCTTGAATATGGTCTATTGGCTGAACGCAGTTTCTGGGACCTCTCCACTGGTGATCCTCATCCACATGGTGGCACCTTGTGTCATCGGGTTTTTATCGCTTGTGTGATATCCTGGTGGGGTAAAAATCTACTACTACTACTACTAATCTTGAAGCTTATCTTCTCACCATTTTTTTCTCTTTCTCAGACAGGGTTGCGAGCAGTCAAAATCTTTTTCATTTTATTGCTGCTCATAATATGCACACAAAATTGTGACAGTCTACATTTAATTATTTTAATGAATATAGGATTTTCATACGCTTCTAAAGAACTGACTCACTTTCCTGTAACAATCCCATTGTAAAGGGAAATTAATTAGGGATTCACTGAAATCAAATGGCATATCCAGCTGTTTTGTTATCCGGCCTACTCTTCTGCCACATTACATCAAATATTGCGGAGCCTACTGTAATACAAATTGCCTTGGACTTTCTGACTGTTCTGACCCTAAATACATGCCAGAAAATATTCTGGAATGTAAAGGCAGCCAGCATGGTATTGACCAGCCTGTACATTGAGTGTTGTTTTGTCTACACTGTGTAAGCTTAGCACCATTTACCCACTGTGCTCTAAGGCGGTTGTACTCAGTTTATCGTCTCACACACACATCGTGATTGTAACTGTTTTAGAAAGTATGCTAAGAAAGATGAGGATAGTCATGCTTCGTGCAGAGTGGCATGCTTTACCTCAAAGGTCATGGGTGAGGACCATTGAATTTTTTCTCCGGGTATACCTGTTTTTTGGAAAATGAATACACTGAAAGACTGACTGGCTCTGCACAGCTTGGTGGAATACTGATGCATGATAAGGAAGACGTGGGTAATACCTTATGGGAGCGTGTTTACGATTCTGAGGAGCAAATGGATCATTAGAGTCAAGTGAGAGTGATGCTGCGAAAAGTACCGAGAGGATTTGGCTGATACTCGACGCTCAGAGGAAAAGCAAGACAAACATATAATCAGACTGCCACTGGTACCATTGGTATTGGAAAGTTGTGCTGGCTGCTGAAGATGGGGATGGAGCGCTAAAGGGAATGCTCTGAGTGTTGTGATGTCGGTTCTCAAGTCAACTCAGCTCAGATAATTTATTGTGAAAAGATATCAAACTAAATGAAAACTAGAACAAACCAGTTAGCTTCATATTATCACAGACACAAATGACAAATGAGTGTTCAGGCAAGACAACCTTCATCAGGACATTATTTGAAGGGATTTAATTAATTCAGACCTGTGAACTGCTCAAACTTTAAAGATCTGCCATTGAGTCCATACTTTTTTGTGCTGAAAAACATATTATGATTTATAAATATTAAAATCACAAAAAAAAAAAAAAAGGATTTTATTGTAAAGTTGGGTTTTTAAGTTTAAAATTATTTTTTTTAAAAATACCTCTGGCTTGTTAAATTTTTTTTCCCACAAACCATCACATTGGAAAAACTAGTTCCATAATAATCAATGTAAAAAAATATTTGGGTTTTACAGATCAATGAAAACTGGAAGTTCCACAAGCCAAGGATAGCTTCATATTGGCTAGTTAAACTTGATACTGTCAAAAGAAGAAAGGTAATTTTATCCTCATTTTATATATATATATATATTTGTGTTGTATTTTTTAGGCTGTAGCTAAGAATAGGCAAAATAGCCGATAGCTGAAAAGTTATTTCCAGATAAGTTTTGTTGATGCAGATTTGCAATTTCTGGACTGGCAGTCCAAAGGCTTTGCCGCCTAGCTACTGAGTTGACTGCTTGGTGCGATACTTTAAGCTGTGGATTTCATATGGAATGTTTCTTTTCTATTGTGCCAGCAGGTGTTGTTGGCTGCACTAAAATGGCGGGTGGGCAGTTATTTTCAGCATGGTGTGTTGCCAGTGTAATGCCGGCTTTCATGATTTACCGTTTGCAGTGAGCTGCAGTTTTAGCATGGAACCCTTGGTGGTGGCATATCTAACAGTTACCTTTTGTATTTTTACTTTGCACTTTACTGAAGAATGTACAAACTTCAACATTGGCAGGCAGGATGGGACTAACGATTCTTCATAGGAACTGAGTAGTTATGGGGTTTCCAAGGGGTGGGAACAACTGAACTACAGTGCTAATTTGTTGGAACTAATTAACCTACTAGCAGTGCTAGGAACTGAGTAGGAGCTGTGCGTGACAAAGTGGGTTGGAAACTTAGACGTCCCATCTGTAGTGGTGTTGGAACTTACGACGACTAACAGCCAGTGAGCTGTTGACAAGTGGTGTTGGAACTTACGATAACTAACGGTGTGCTGGAAGTGGTAATGGAACTTAACTAACAGGTCAGGAGCTGTGCTGACAAAGTGGTGTTGGAACTTACGACTAACTAACAGGTCAGGAGCTGTGCTGACAAAGTGGTGTTGGAACTTACGACTAACTAACAGGTCAGGAGCTGTGCTGACAAAGTGTGTGATATCTTTAATTTGTCCTTTGCTCAGTGTAACTTGAGATTAGAATGTGATTTTGCTATTTCCCAGACAACATTGAGTTATACATTTTTATGAATTAACTTTTTTTAGTGATTTGATCTTGATAATTTTTTTCACAGGTGATAGATATCGTCAGACATAATGTCCGCAATATATTACAACATATCTGGCACACTGCTGATATTGATAGCCTCCGCCTGTGCCGAATATTTGGCCGTCTGTTTAACAGATTGCTCTGGAGTCACGGTCAAGGACTTTGGCTCTGCTTTTCTTCAAAAAGGTATGGTTGTCACCACAGACACACACACATATGCACACACACGCACGCACACACACACAAATTAGTAGTTACTTGATTTCTTCAGGCGAGAGTTACTGAACTCATTTATTCCGTGTAGTGAGCAATGGCAACATAATGGCAAACACACTTTCCTGTCAGCATGGTGGTCCTGCAATTGAATCCTCATCCTGTAGGATTTTAAAACATTTACCTGGGATGTGACAGGTCAGCCCATCCTAAAATGAGCGTCACGAAATGTCATGGGAAGCAAAGGGGCTGTCAGTCACATAGAATATAGTGCTAGCCTGTTGCTTTTCCGTAAAAATACAAATACAAATTTAATCAGAGATTACTAAAGAAATCTCGCTACTCTGATAGCGACTTCCATTTGTTGATGTTATAATACAGAGGCACTTTGAAAACTACATAATAATAGCAAAATCTTAGCAGTAAATACATTCATTCATTCATTCAGTAGCATGTCCCTCGCGGAACCTCGCTGCCATAACAACCCTCCGGAAAACCTTCCTATCCTGAGCAAGATGTCCTGCGTCTGATACACCCATCTGGAGATCATCTGCCACATCCTGCACCCATCTTCTCCTTGGCCTTCCTCTTCCTCTCTTCCCAGGCATATACCCCTCCATTATTGTTCTCTCTAGACTTCCATGACGTTTCAAGTGACCAAAATATTTCAATTTTCTTTGTTTTATGTGTCTTTACTAGCCAAACCTCTTCAATATTCAGCTCTTGAAGTATGGATGCATTTGTTCTTTTCTTTACCCAGATATTCTTAGAACCTGTTCTGTAACATTTTTATATTCAAATGCATTTATGCGCTGTTCCGCTTGTTTAGTAAGTGTCCAGGTCTCACAGGCGTATGTTGGCAATGGGAAAGATGCATGCTCTTAAAATCTGACCTTTGTAATTCTATCTGTACAATTCCATAATTTATTCAGTTGTTTTAGTCTTTGAAGAGCAATTGATAGTCGCCGTTTAATTTCTTTCATTGTGTCACCATTGTTGGTAACCAGTGACCCAAGATATTCGAAATTTTCCACCACTTCCAATCTTTCCTCATTAACATATATTTCCTTCTCCATGGCAGTTTTGTTTGTATGCATTATCTTTGTTTTTGCTATGTTAAGAAATAAGTTATGATTTTCGCTATTTCTTTGGAGTGAGGTTAATAAGTTTTCTAAACCATTTTGTGATGTTGATAGTAATACTGTATCATCAGCATAACGAATTTCTGGTATTTCATGACCACCTGTTGCTTTTCTGTGAAAATACAAATACAAATTTAATCAGAGATTACTAAAGAAATCTCGCTACTCTGATAGCGACTTCCATTTGTTGATGTTATAATACAGAGGCACTTTGAAAACTACATAATAATAACAAAATCTTAGCAGTAAATACATTAGGCTTCATAATATAGTGTCTTAGTTGTTAACAAGGTGTGTATAAATATAATTGTAATTGTGGTTAGATAAGAACATAACAGATTAATGTTGAATGAAGCAAATTTTAAAAATAAATATTTTCTGTCATTTTGTGAAGCAAGCCAAACTGTGTATACAAAACAAATTACTGGTTATTGCTCGTGCGCATCCTGGCATATCTAAACAATTAACTCAAGTGCTTCTTCTTTCTTCTTTTGTCAAAATCTGCTTGTGCCGCTAGGCGTCGCAGTCTATCAGATGATCGGCAACCGAGCCAGGGCGCGCTCAGTCGCTTCATATGCCGTGATGTTATGAAGTCTCAAGTTGTCCGTGACTCCTTCAATCCATCTTCTTCTTGGTCTTCCCCTGCCTCTTGGTGTTTCAATTTTCATGTTGTATGCTCTTGATGCTGGCATCGTTGGTTCCATTCTCATTAGGTGACCAAACCATTTCATTCTTTGCTTCTCAATAAATTTAACGATAGGTATGGTTCCAATAGTTCTTGTAATCACATCGTGCTTACTGGCCTAAATCTACTAGGTTCTTTTCCTTCTGGCTTCACCCTTAAAAGCCTGGTTGGCATTTTGTATTGTGCTTCACTGCTAAGTGAAATATATGCGTCTTTCGGCCTAACACGTCTGATTTCAGTCAGCTACTAATTAGTCGTCTTTTACAACATGCTTGTTTGGGGCAACAGGTCTGTTCTTCCCCCCCCCCCTCCTCCCCAGAAATAGGGCCTCAGAACCCACACAGGGATGGTGGGTTTAAATCATCATGATTTTTTTTTTAAATAATTAATTTTGGTGCCAAGATCAGCTCAACCTAAAATATATACTAGGAAATGCTGTGAGCAGTTGGTGCCAAGATCAGCTCAACCTAAAATATATACTAGGAAATGCTGTGAGCAGTTGGTGCCAAGATCAGCTCAACCTAAAATATATACTAGGAAATGCTGTGAGCAGTTGGTGCCAAGATCAGCTCAACCTAAAATATATACTAGGAAATGCTGTGAGCAGTGGTGCCAAGATCAGCTCAACCTAAAATATATACTAGGAAATGCTGTGAGCAGTTGGTGCCTAAGATCAGCTCAACCTAAAATATATACTAGGAAATGCTGTGAGCAGTTGGTGCCAAGATCAGCTCAACCTAAAATATATACTAGGAAATGCTGTGAGCAGTTGGTGCCAAGATCAGCTCAACCTAAAATATATACTAGGAAATGCTGTGAGCAGTAAAGGTAACCAGTGGGGTATTGAGCACGTCATCAATCAAGTGCTGATTGATGCATCAAAATATGCATTGCACCACTGGTTTAGGGGGGGGAGGAGGGGGAAGGCACTGGGCTTATTTACTTACTTAAATGATACATGTTCATGGTTTTTTCCTTCTGCCTATTTCACTCCAGCAGAAAATTCTGGTTGTTTGTCCACTTTTGGACTTTAGTCTTGTTTCAGAACTCGAGTTTTCGCTTGCACATCCTTTTGACAGATTTGGCTTTTTTTTTTTTTTTTTTTGGCACTTTTGATTGCTCGCTTTTCAGGCAGATTTACTCTGACTTTGAGGGGAAAACTCCCATTTAATTTACTTTTAAAACATTCTTTTTTTTTTTGGCAAAGGGGGGGGGGGGTGGAGAGGCAAGGGTCTAATATTCCTCCAAAATGGAACCCTGGAACCTATGAGGAGAATCCTGTAATGAAGCATAGGCCCTCAACCAGCTTGCTTCACTTGTTTTAAAGTTGTTTAGTCTTTTGGGCTAAACAATTTTTAATGAGATGGTATAACCAACTCGAGACTTTCCTTATCTTTAGTTGTGACCTTTGAAAGCTAATGACAGTCTGGCATGGGCTGTCATTGAAACTTCCTCTGCTTTATCTTCTTCTTCTTATTATTATTATTCTTCTTAGCGTTCACTGGCTGTAAATTCCAGTAAAAAATTCTGGTTGTTTGTCCATTTCTGGACTTTGGTCTTGATCCAGAACTTGAGCTTTGCATGTACATCCATTTTACAGATCTGGCTTAATGGTATACAGACTGTTGGTTCCTTGCACTTTGAGAAAAAACATCCTGAACTAATCACCTCCTATAAAGGTAAAGTCTGTAGATGTGAACCATCGTCATTGCACATGGTTATAAACCATAAGTGCTCTGCCACCAGTACGGACACCTGATAAGAAACTGTCCGCCTGTGTCGTCGTCCGCACGTAACTCCGTAGCTACAGTGACGTTCCTCCATTTACTCCAGAGTGTCAACTCTGGTACCCATTTCCCCCCCCCCCCTGTTTTCGAATACGGACCGTAGGCTGCAGCGAGTCGCAGCTGGATTTGACCTATTGACCCAAAATGATTTGCTTGATCGGGTCAGTGGGTCTGTTCCAGGATGGAGCATCAGTACCCACCCTGGAAATAACTGAATCAGTTATTATTCTGACACTGAATCCAAGCAATTTTCCCTCCATTTTTTTTTCAGTAATGTATGGGAAACAATGTTCTGCAAAAGTGGTGAAAATGTGTCAGACAGCGAACTAGAATGCTGTCGAAGGATTACTCAGTTGTGCCAGGACTGTTTGCTGATCGTCTACATGTTTGCCGAGGAGGCCAGAAGTTCAGCCAACATAGCTGCTGACGAGCAGAGCCAGCAGCAAGGCGACAATAAGTATGTCATGCCTGTGCAGACTGGGTGAGTTGTTTGAATTTCCTTCACAAATAAGTGAGAATAGTTTATTATAACCATCACCCTCATGTGCTGTTTAGAAATGCTGTGTAATGTTTCACCATCTCCCATGATCACCAGAATTATGGATGAGGTCAGTGCTCTTGCTTGCCCCATTTTTTAGGCTAAGCCATCCAGGTATCGATATCTTTACCCTTCCCTTGCTCTTTTTCTACTGTCCTTGCCAGTCGTAATCAAGTTCTCAATTCTTTTTCCTGACATTATCAGTCAGCAGATCCTTCACAAAACATCACTCTCATTACGTCACGTCTGAAAGTCTCTCTTTCTCTAGCCTGTTCTCCAGCCCTATGTGCAATTTATCGCCATTGATCTTCAGTGTCTTGTATACATCTTCATGGAGGTCTGCCTCTGCATCATGTTCTGGAAACTGTACCTTCCATCACTTTTCTCTCCAGACCACCATATTTAACATGGCCCAAATACCTGAGCTTCCAGGGCATGTTTAAAAAAAAAAAACTACCATCTACATCTTATTTCTCTAATAATTTTAGTTTTCACCTATCTCACAATTTTCGTCACAATTTCTAATAAAATAAATAAAATAATACCTAAGACAAACTTTGATGAGAGAATGACAAAGGATATAATGAAATGGAAAAAATAAACTGAGCCCTATGTGATGTGACATTTAAGAGCACAATCTGATAATGTTGATGATGATGGTAGTGATTATGATGATGGTGATGTGATGATAACAATGATAATGTTGATGATAATGATAGTAGATATGATGATGATAGTGATGTTGATGATAACAATGATGATGTTGATTGTGATAGTGATGTTGATGATAACAGTAATGATGTTGATGATGATGATAGTGATGTCAATGATAGTGATGTTGATGTTGATGAGAGTGATGTTGGAGTGATGTTGATGATGATAGTGATGTTGATGATAGTGTATATGTCTTTCATCATGTCAGTATGTGTGTCTATCCACATGTCAGTGTGTGTGTGTGTGTCTGTCCATATGTCAGTGTCTGTCCACATGTCAGTGTGTGTGTGTGTGTCTGTCCATATGTCAGTGTCTGTCCACATGTCAGTGTGTGTGTGTCTGTCCATATGTCAGTGTCTGTCCACATGTCAGTGTGTGTGTGTGTGTGTCTGTCCACATGTCAGTGTCTGTCCACATGTCAGTGTGTGTGTGTGTGTCTGTCCATATGTCAGTGTATGTCCACATGTCAGTGTCTGTCCACATGTCAGTGTGTGTGTGTGTGTCTGTCCATATGTCAGTGTCTGTCCACATGTCAGTGTGTGTGTGTGTGTCTGTCCATATGTCAGTGTATGTCCACATGTCAGTGTCTGTCCACATGTCAGTGTGTGTGTGTGTGTCTGTCCATATGTCAGTGTCTGTCCACATGTCAGTGTGTGTGTGTGTGTCTGTCCATATGTCAGTGTCTGTCCACATGTCAGTGTGTGTGTGTGTGTCTGTCCATATGTCAGTGTGTGTGTCTATCCACATGTCAGTGTCTGTCCACATGTCAGTGTGTGAGTGTGTGTCTGTCCACATGTCAGTGTGTGAGTGTGTGTCTGTCCACATGTCAGTGTCTACCACAACATGTGTGTGCACCTCTTGACCGCAGTCACCGCTGTGAGTGTGTGTGTGTGTGTGTGTCTGTCCACATGACAATGTATGTGTCTGTGTATAGGTGTCACCATGTAACACAGATTCCAGGCATGATTTCACCAGCATGGTTCGCTTCTCCGCAGGTATGTGAGCAGCCATGACCTAAAGCCTCCCATCAACTGGACCCCAAGCACCAAATATAGCCAAAGATTCCTCAAGCTTTACCCAACATGTAACCACAGCACCTCTTGACCGCAGTCACCGCTCTGAGTCTCAACTTGTTGGTAGTTAGTCTCAAAATATCTTGTCATTCACAACTGAAATGTTCTGTCCCCACTGTCTTGTTGCAGTAGATGTTAGCTTCAATTAACAGTCAAGATTTGTCAGTTTGATTAATTCATTTTAAGGCATAGCAATTTAACTATTTCAGTCCCAGGAAATGTGTGATACCTGCACAGGTTCTTATCTAGAAGGCCAGTTAACGCAAGATGGGCACATTTACATTTCCCTCTACTACTTCTTAGGCCTCTGATACTCGGCCCCCTGGGACTGAAAGAGTTGAGTCATGAAGCAGTAAACATTTTGTTGCAAGAAGAATTAACAATTAGGACTGAAACTGGTCATTCAGTTGATTAAACAGCAACAGATGATGAGTTGGTCTGGTAATCTGATGACAATGCTCTGATCCCAACTGCCACAGAGAGCCACACTGGAAAAAAATTTACTGGACACATGAGTCAGGGGAAGACCATGCAGAAATTGGAACAATAGTGTCAAGGAACTGCTCTAAAGGTTTCGTGATTTCGTATTCTGTCTTGCCTAAACTCTTCTGCAGCTCTTCTAAGGCATTTCATCTGTGTTGTCATTAGAAGATGTAAGTGTCTACGTTTGGCAGTGATAACTTGGTGTTGGCCATTTGTGAATTACTGGCATTAAAGTTATGTTTCTCAATATACATTTTAATTTCTTTAAGCATACATTTTAAATTGTGAGCTATTTGCATACAGTTGTCAAGCATACATTTTAATTTGTGAGTGACAAGCATTATTTTTGTTAGCATAAATTATAATTTGTCAGCTATGGCATTGATGTTGTAAGTAAACATTTAATTTTTGACCCACTAGCATAAATAGTTTAAATCACCACTGATCACTGGCATCATGAGAGATAACAGACTGAAATGGTTGGGGCATATTGAAAGAATGTCAGATGACAAAGAAGTAAAAACTGTAAAAGGGAGATGAACACCGTGGACCACGAGAGACTAATGGTTGGAGAGATAATATCCAGATAGACCTGCAAACACTTGGTGTCACCAACTGGAAAGAATAGGTCAACCAGAGAGATGAATGGAGGCGAGTGATATCTGCAGCAATGAACCTCAAGGGCTCGGGATGCTAAAGAAGAAGAAGAAGCATAGGGGTTCTCAAGCTTCCTAATGCGGGGACCCTTTAATACAGATCCTCATGTTGTGGCAACTCCAACAATAGTTGTTTTTGTTGCTACCTCAAAACTTCAGTGAAAATTTGATTTCCGACGGTCTTCGGCGACCGCTATGAAAGGGTCTTTCGACCCACAAAAGGATCGCGAACCACAGGTTGTGAGCCGCTGCACTAGCATAAACATTTTAAGTAAAAAAATTGAACATTCTAAATTGTGAGCCACTAGCATTAAAATTGTCAGCATGCATATTAAATTATGAACTATAAGCATTAAAGTTATGACAATGAATGCAGAAAAATACAATATTATGAGTGGGTCTACATGTAACCATAAGTTACCTTGTGTTAATATTACATTTGACAATCTACTGAACCAAAAATGTGTGTTGAATGCTAAAAATGTGTACACTGGTTTATGAGGGTGTGATTATAATTTCACATGCAGCTTACCAATTGTCAGTATTTGTAAAAATGTGATTTCAAATATAAGATGACTTCTAATTTCTTTGCCCAGTTTATGTAGTATATCAAAGGCTTATGTATAATTAATTATATATGCACAATACGCTGCAGGTGATTTGGCAACAGATCGCCTTGCATTGGTCTAGAGAGCTGACTGTTCAGGTTGCAATCGCAAACAACTGAACGTAAATATGCCTAGAAGAACTGTAACCACCAAAAAATGCTGAGGTTGGTTCTGCAACGTTCTGTAAAGGATATGTGACAGACTATTTAGGTTCTACATGCAAATGTGAATTATGACCATTTTGCAATAATAAAGAAGAAGAAAAGATTCCTGGAACTAAAATGATAGACACAAAATCTTTAAAAAAATCTTAGAATAGACCATGTTAGACACAAATTCTTAAATAAATCTTAGAATAGACCACACACACACACAATTTCACAATCTGCGAATTAAACAGGGGATGGACAAATACTGACTTTAAAAAAAGTCTGAACATAAAGAAAACTGACTTTGAAACAGCAGTATGTCTCAGAAATAGAAAGTGGATGTGTTCCTAAATTGAGGTGACACTTCACCATTTGGAGATGGATGGCAACAGTCCATTATAGTCACTGTGGCTTCTGATTACATTGATGTCTAATGTGTTCTCAAAATTTGTGAATTTATGGATCACACTGCTGTTAAAAGGTTGTCTTTTTTCAAAACTGCAAATGATGAAAATAACAGAGTGAAAATATAAAAAAAAAACTATAATAAAAATCAAATGAAACAAATTTTGGCCTGCCACCTGATGTTGGTCCTAAATTTTAGCCTCTTGTCTTTTAAATCTTTTAATCCTACGTAGTGCATGATTAGGAAGCCGCCATGGTGAAGTGACTGGACACTTGCGAGCAGATCACAAAAGTCGTGGGTTCAAATCCTCATGGAGCCAGATTCTTTTCAGACATGACCTTAGCTCCCAAATCAGTCCAGCATTAAACAAATCTCAGGTAAAGTCCTGAAAAATAAAGGCAGACTGCGTGCTGTTCACAACATCACTCATCTATAAAAAAAATATGTATAGCCTCATATACCTCGGGCCAATGGGACTTTACTTTTCGGACATGAGGAGTCCACAGCTCTTCCTCATGTGAAATATAGCATCATGTATCTTATAACTGTTTAATGTTTTGTCAGAACATACTAAACAAATCTGGCTACTCTTCTTTATTTTCTATTGTCTTTATGAGATTTTAAAATAAAAGTTTAAACAGATACATTATGTGCAAAGCTTTTTCAGGCTGTTTAAGGAAGTCTATTCTTTCTTCAGGAGAAAACAAACGTTATTTTACATTATTGAAGCTTCCTGACAAGCTATGGCCACATGGAGTATATTTCTTGTGTTTTTGCAAGTACAAATGGCAACAACAAATCTATAAATTCTCTTTATGTTATTGGTACAGACATCTCAACCTACTTGCTACACACATATGATTTTTTTTATAGCAGGATATATTTTCATTTACCTTTCCAGATTTTCATAATCTTTTGTATTTATATTTACTTTATTTATACAGCATGCTGCACCTACAGCTCCTCAGCTGTTCATTCTGTTTTATTTTGTATAATTTACATTTTACCTGGGATCTATGATGTTGTCGCTAGACGTTTGCTTTGGACCTGAAGGTTGTAGAGCCAAATTGGTACCAGGTAAAGTCTTGGGAAGTAAAGGCAGCCGAGGTGATATTCAACACATCACCCATCGAGTGCCGATTGGTGTATTAAGTATAGGTTTAGCAATATATGCCCTGTACGCCTAATGGCCTGGAAGTGTCCATTACCAATTGTTACCTTTCAGTTTGTGCTTTATAATACTCAGCTTGGTGTGTCCCGAGGCAATTAGAAACTATAAAGAAAGCATAGTTACACTGTCCCTCATGCAAGTTCTGGGATACCATGTTTAGGGAGGGGGAAGGGAGAATTTATCCACTGCTCTTCCTTCTTGGTGTTCACCGGCTGTAATGGTCCATTGGAAACTTCTGGTTGCTCATCCACTTCTGGACTTTGGCTTGTTTCAGAACTTGAGTTTTGCATGGAAATGCATTTTACAGATTCTCGGCTTATCTGTATGCAGCCCGTAGGTTCCCTGCCTCTCAGGCAGATACACTCCAAGTTCAAAGGAAACATCCCTAATTAGTTTAGTCATCTTGTACCACATGCCTGTTAGGGAGGCAGTGGGTCAATCCCCCCCCCCCCCCAATGGGGCCCTTCGGGCTGAAAGGCACAGGATTCACAACCTAGCTGTAACACACAACATAATGTGCTAATAAACCATTTAAAGGCGAATTGCAAAAGAAGAAAAACACTTAACCTACGGTCACAATGCAGAAGTGAAACAAGAACCTAGACTTCCTCTGAGTTATGGTGATCATATAGGTTGGCATATCAACAGAACAGAGGTTAATGATGTGTGTATATTTATATAAAAGCTAGATTAATCTTTTCTGCCCTTCCAGAATTTTGGTAGCAAGATGCTAGTACATAAAACAATATAACATACCTCAGCTGCTTGACTGCATTAGGTAAAAGTAAAGGACCCTTTTCCACACCTTCAGGCTTATTTGGGTATATAGGGCTAGTCCTATATTTTATAGACCAGACAGCACTTGATAGGTGATGTGGTCAGCATTATGTACTTCCCAGGACTGTACCTGGGACCCACTCAAGGCTCCGTCGACCTGCGAGCCTAAGTCATTTGTCAAAAAAAGTCTGGCCCCTGTCAGGATCTGAATCCACAACCTTCTGATCCGCAGGTGAGCATCTAGCTGCTAGACCACGGTGGCTTAATGCCTGCATTGAGGCAAATATTGAAACTGACCTTGGCTACCAGACCGACCTAGCCTTAAATGGGTTCCTGAAAATGGTTAAAACCAATGCTATAGCAGAACAGAAAGACCATAAAAAGATGAGTAAAAACAAAAACTGCTTAGAGAGAGGGAAGATTCCTCAAATTCGATCTATGAACTCATGTCATACAGGTGGGACTAAAGCAGAGCTGAAGAACTGATTCAATGCATACAGTCCTAGATTTCTCATTTTATTTGAAACAATACAGTAGCTGTTGAACACTTGCTTGTATAACCACACTTGATACAACTTTCATGTCAACAAGGTGTGTGGTACAACTGTTGTCTCAACAAGATGTGTGGTACACTGTCATATCAACAAGGTTTGTGGTACAACTGTCTTGTGTAGTCAACTGGATGTGTGGTACAACTGTCATGTGCAGTCAACAAGATGTATGGTACAGCTGGCATGTACAGTCAACAAGATATATGGTACACATGTCATGTACAGTCAACAAGATGTGTGGTACAGCTGTCATGTGTAAGTCAACAAGATGTGTGGTACACTTGTCATGTGCAGTCAACAAGATGTGTGGTACAGCTGGCATGTACAGTCAACAAGATGTGTGGTACAGCTGGCATGTACAGTCAACAAGATGTGTGGTACAGCTGGCATGTACAGTCAACAAGATGTGTGGTACAACTGTCATGTGCAGTCAACAAGATGTGTGGTACAGCTGGCATGTACAGTCAACAAGATGTGTGGTACAGCTGGCATGTACAGTCAACAAGATGTGTGGTACAGCTGGCATGTACAGTCAACAAGATGTGTGGTACAGATGGCATGTGCAGTCAACAAGATGTGTGGTACAGCTGGCATGTACAGTCAACAATATATATGATACAACTGTCATGTGCAGTCAACAAGATGTGTGGTACAGCTGGCATGTACAGTCAACAAGATGTGTGGTACATATGTCATGTGCAGTCAACAAGATGTGTGGTACAGTTGGCATGTACAGTCAACAAGATGTGTGGTACAGCTGTCATGTGCAGTCAACAAGATGTAAGGTACAACTGTCATCACCAATAGGATGTGTGGTAAAACCACCATGTCAACAAGATGTGTGATAAAACTCTGATGTTAACAAGACGTGTGGTACTACTGTCATGTCAACAAGATTTGTGTGGTACAACTGTCATGTCAATGTGTGGTAAAATTGTCATATCAACAAGACATGTGGTACAACTGGCATGTAAACAAGATGTGTGGTACAACTCGATGTGTCAACAAAATATGTGGTACAACTGCTGTGTCAGCAAGATGATTGGTACAACTGCTGTGTCAAAAAGATGTGTGGTAGAAATGTCATATCAGCAAGATACCTGGCACAGATATCATGTGTTTGAAGACCTTTGCCCTATACAGGCATAAGAGAGAAAAACTAAACAATCATTTAAACCTTTCTGAATGTTTAAATCCATATTAATTCTTTTGTACTCTCAAATCGTAATAAATACCAGTAGCTAACTGATTTTAATGTGTTTTGTTGTACTGGCTATTTGTTGTGTTTATAGTTGTTTTGTTGTATTGGCGTGCATACGATACCACAACATCTAGCATGAGAATGGAGGTGGAGTCGGTAACTGCAGCTTTTCGGTGGCTAGAGAACAAGATACATGCTTATGTCATAATTTAACAGACTCTGAAAGCATGCTGAGAAAGGTGAAAACAGGGATGCTTCAAGCAGAGTGGCAAGCTTCACTGGGAAGATCATGGGTAGTGAGCAAACTTTGGATCTTTTCTCCAGGCTATGCCAGTCTGGTGGGGAATGAACAGGCAGACAGACTGGCTGGATCTGCACCACTGGATGGTGAATTGATACATAAGGTAGATGTGGTCAAGACTCTTTGAGGAAAAGCAACAGTCAGAAGCGAAACAAGATTATTTTGTCCTGCAGAGAATGAGGCACCTTGGTGTAACCAGAGGGTTAGGCCGGCTCATTACACTCACAGGAAAGGCAAGACGGACATATAACCAGATTACGACTTGTAATATTAGTATTGGAACTCTGTGATGGCTGCTGAGGATGAGGACAGAGCAAGCATTCGAATGCCCGAGTGCTGTGATATCAATTTTTGACTCAACCCTAACTTGTATTGGTGTTTAAAAATGTTTTTTTTTTAATTGACTATAATGTTTACAATCGTTTTCTTGTATTGACATTTGTTATATTTTTACATTTTTATTTTATTTTTTGGGTTACTGACAGTTTGTTATGTGTTCACAAATCTGATGGAGACTTTCAGTAACTAGTGTAGGCCCAGCTGCATTCAGAGTAGGAACTGTGAGGGCAGCCACATGAGATGTAAATGCTGGTTGAAACTGGAGGATCCAAGAGGATCATGACTGTAAGAGGTCTCCGGATGGTTTGGTGTTGGTCCAGAAGGTGGACCATCCCATTTTTACAGTCAAACTTGGTGTAAATGAACCTCACATGAAACCTCAGCCAGGTGTGAGCAGGCTGTGTACCCCATCTCAGGGTCTCTGAGATTTTGTAGGGAATTCCCAGGAAAGTCCAAGTGTGTAATGACACTGACTAACATTAACCCTAACACACACTCCCCTCCCCTACTAGACTTTAATGGAAACTCCCTAGGAGATCTCAGAATCCCCGAGATGGGGTTGAAATAAAAGAAACGAACCTAAGGTTGTTTCCATTGATGAGACCAAGGATTGTAACTCTATAGTTAAGAGTTATAGAAAGATCCTTGACAGTATTGTTCCAAGTTTTCTAATCTCTTAATTTCTCACCCAATCTCTTCTGGTTTTGATCACAGCCTTTCTTAAACATTTCATTTCACAGGTACCCACAGTGAGACACAATCTGAGATTAACTCATTATCCTCATGTGTTAGGCCCTTTGCTGAACATTGTTCTCATCAGTCCACCTGAAAAGCAACTCTGTCTCTCATCAGCTATCCCACCCCATGCACTTTCCTACCCCAAGGTGTCTGTCATTTATGTGCCCATCTTTTGAGCTAGTCAGCCTCTGCCCATCTTTCTTAGTACTATACCTTCTGCTGTTATTCTTTCCAATCAGCTGTGACGCTTGATATGGCCCAAAATATTTCAGTTTCCGAAATAGGATGCTGTTTACTTGCAAATCATCCTTGATATTCAGATCTTTTGGGATGTAACAGATTAACATAGCTTCCTAAAAATGGTAGAAGGCAATTTTACAAATGTTCTCAGAAGGACCTAGCCATACCATCGTGTTTACAACAGTATATGCGGACAGCCTTGTACATCACACCCCAACAGTATTTGTGGACAGCCTAGAACATCACACCCCAACAGTATATGTGGACAGCCTTGTACATCACACCCCAACAGTATATGTGGACAGCCTTGTACATCACACCCCAACAGTATATGTGGACAGCCTAGTATATCACACCCCAACAATATATGTGGACAGTCTAGTACATCACACCCCAACAGTTTATGTGGACAGCCTAGTACATCACACCCCAACAGTTTATGTGGACAGCCTAGTACATCACACCCCAACAGTATATGTGGACAGCCTAATACTTCACACCCCAACAGTATATGTGGACAGTCTAGTACATCACACCCCAAAGGTAGTATCTGCTTTGAGACTACCTGTCAGTGTCCGTGTGTAATTACATATAAACAGAGAGCTAAGGAACAACATACTGCACACAAATAAGCCAGTGAAACAGATGTACACACAAAACTTAGGATAGCCAGGTGGACGAACAACCAGGACTTTTTGTCAGAGTTCACAGCAGGGGAAGGCAAACAAACAAACCTTTCTATAAACAAAACCTCAGCAAGTTTCAGTCCATATATAGAAAGGACTGCACAAGACAGAACAGCCTGCAAGCTCTTCATGCCTTATAACACACCGGAATGATGATGATGATAATGACAACATAAGGAAAAACAATAAATCAAACTACAAAAGCATGTCAATAAAAAAATCAACATGTTTTAATAACTAACACAATGTGTCACAAACATTCAGCATTCTGATGACTGCAGAGATACTTACATCCTTTTAAAACTTGTTCATATATCAAGTCACACAGAAATGTAAATTATTATCAGTAATTAATGTTCACTTCAATGAAACAATAATGGGCGGATAAAGTAGCCAGATGGCTGTCTCCATCATGAGAGGTTGAGTGAAGCTAGAACCGTGTCCAGTCCTAAATCTGTAAGTGCATCTCGAATGGCTGATATAGAATCTTTTTCTTGTTCTTCTTCCTGAGAAAGATTGCAAAAAGTGTAAATACCTTAATAAAAAACAAATGATTATGTTTCAGTTTTATTAATTATAGAGAAATTTATTTACTAGATCAGTCAGATAAGGGAATCAATGAAGTTGTGAAGAGACAGCTGTTATATTGACAGCTCACATAAAGTCCAACAGTTGATTCACAACAACTCATGCCAGGTGATTTGATTATTTATACAGATGGTTCGGTGTTGAGAGGAAAGAGAAGTGCCTGGGGGTTTGTAGCGAAAGCCAATGGAAAATCTTTAGTGCAAGAAGACAGCCTAGCATTCGACACCACAACATCTAGCATGAGAATGGAGGTGGGGGCGGTAACTGCAGCTCTCCGGTGGCTAGAGAACAAGATGCATACACATGTTGTAAGTGTAACAGACTCTGAAAGCATGCTGAGAAAGGTGAAGACGGATGCTTCGAGCAGAGTAGCTAGCTTCACTGGGAAGGTCACGGGTAGTGAGCATACTTTGGATCTTTTCTCCAGGCTATGTCGGTGTGGTGGGTAATGAACAGGAAGACAGATGGGCTGGATCTGCGCCACTGAATGGTGCGTTGATACAGGACAAGGCAAATGTGGTCAAGGCTCTTTGGGAACTAGCAACTGAATCAGTAGAGAAACAAGATTATTATGGCCTGAAGAGAATGAGGCACATTGGTGTAACCAGAGTGTCCGGCCGGCTCACTACACTCAGATGAAAGGCAAGACGGACATATAACCAGGTTGTGACCAGTACCATCAGTATTGGAATTCTGCGCTGGCTGCTGAAGATGAGGACGGAGCAAGCATGGAAATGCCCTGAGTGCTGTGATGTCAATTCTTGACTCAACTCAACTGACATAAAGTTTTCACATAAATTACTGAAGATAAAACTGCAGCATAAAGGAATAAAAACAGAGCTGTTCTATAAAGGAAAAAATAACTCCCAGTTTGTAGTTTAAGGTAGATATATTACATAAAAATAGCAAGAGAACAAAGAAACCCATTTTTTTTTCAAAACTTGAGAATAAATGAAAGGCACTTCACATGACAAACACAGCTGACAGTGCACTCAACTCAATAACTCAGGCAGCAAAACCGCATACTTCCATCCATATGTGGAAAACATTGCAAAGCAATTTCAGGAGCTAAAATAACAGTGAAGCTAAACATTCTGCCACGCCTATCCTCCATACTGGGCCAAAAGTTCTCTAAAATATGTGCCCAGAACCATATGCCGGAAATATCACAGGTGTGAAAAGTGTCTTTTACTCACCTGCCAGACTGTCAACATATTTGTCGCCACCTCCGTGACATTATCTGAGGAATCCTTGAAATAAGCCAGGTGGTCTGCAGGCAGTCCCAGCCTCTCTCCCAACTTCATCCACACGCTGCCAGCTTGCTCAGCTATAATGCGGATCTGATCTTTGGTGAGCTGCAACTGGGGGCTGCCAACATCTGCAGAAGTCAGAATGATTCATTTTAGAAACCTCAACAAACGCAGCAGGGACCTGCATCAGAAAGCAATTTTTACAACAGATTGGACCTCATCTGACTTTTAGCTTATTTTACAATCCATGTCATGTGGCTCTAGTGGTCACGCTTGTTTCAGCTTTGTCTATGTCTGGTGGTCACGTTTGTTCACAGCCTTGTCTATGCCTGGTGGTCATGTTTGTTCACAGCCTTGTCTATGCCTGGTGGTCATGTTTGTTCACAGCCTTGTCTATGCCTGGTGGTCATGTTTGTTTCAGCTTTGTCTATGTCTGGTGGTCATGTTTGTTCACTGCCTTGTCTATGTCTGGTGGTCATGTTTGTTCACTGCCTTGTCTATGTCTGGTGGTCATGTTTGTTCACAGCCTTGTCTATGTCTGGTGGTCATGTCTGTTCACTGCCTTGTCTATGCCTGGTGGTCATGTTTGTTCACAGCCTTGTCTATGCCTGGTGGTCATGTTTGTTCACAGCCTTGTCTATGTCTGGTGGTCATGTCTGTTCACTGCCTTGTCTATGTCTGGTGGTCATGTTTGTTCACAGCCTTGTCTATGTCTGGTGGTCATGTTTGTTCACAGCCTTGTCTATGCCTGGTGGTCATGTTTGTTCACAGCCTTGTCTATACCTGGTGGTCATGTTTGTTCACAGCCTTTCTATGTCTGGTGGTCATGTTTGTTCACAGCTTTGTCTATGCCTGGTGGTCATGTTTGTTCACAGCCTTGTCTATGCCTGGTGGTCATGTTTGTTCACAGCCTTGTCTATACCTGGTGGTCATGTTTGTTCACAGCCTTTCTATGTCTGGTGGTCATGTTTGTTCACAGCTTTGTCTATGCCTGGTGGTCATGTTTGTTCACAGCCTTGTCTATGCCTGGTGGTCATGTGTGTTCACAGCCTTGTCTATACCTGGTGGTCATGTCTGATTACAGCCTTCTTCTCTGTTCACTGTCAATTATTTCTGATTCATACAGATGTTCTTCAACATGATGCTAAACTGTTCAACTTCTTCTCTCCTGGTGTCCCACTGCTAAGTGCAGCTCATTTAAATGTTAAATTTGCCCCCAACTCTAACCTCATAACTACTTTAACGCTTTCTCTTCCATACTGTTATTGAGGTTATATGAAAATTAACATTGAAAACATAGTATACACCTAGAATGAGGTTGGCTATGTTCTCTCTTAACCTTCCACACCAAGAATAAACAAAACAAAAATGGGTCATGATCCTGTAGAAAGAGTTGACATACCTTCTTCGGCATTCCTCATGTCATCGTCATCATGATCATCCTGATTCTCCTTGATCTCATCATCGTCGTTGGGGACAGTCATCTCTGTCTTCACCTCGCTTGTGCTGAGATTCTGGGGCAAACATAAAACCATTTGTATTATAAGAGAAACCTAATGGATGTTGTTCATTCATCACAAGTGATGAGGACAACCCTTTCTTTTATCCACCATGAAACTATATGTGATTTATGTGAGTCCAGAGGTGACATAAATCCATTATGGGCCAGGAAGGATCAAGGATAAAGAGAGCCACAACAGCTTATGTAGGTCAAGGGACCATTATACGGATCTTTCTAGCCTCCCTGCGCTGTTCAGCTGCCCTTTTTCTAGACGCCTCGCAAGTTGCTGCCCCTCTTCAGACAGTCGTTTGCCATCTAGTCTGGTCTTGTACAAAAGCCACCCACTTAGGGATAAAGAAACTGTTGAACATATTTACTTACCCTTAGCCATACAATTACAAATTAAAAAGTTATAAAAGCTCAGCAATGGAACCTGACCCCCTTAGAACTCACCGGATTGATATCTCTGGCCATCTTGTCAACAATCTCCTTCAGATGTACAGTTAAGGGAAGTCCTGGCGTGTTCGTGTGCACAAAAAAGTGCGGAGATGATCGTGCCAGGAGTCGGTAGGCTTTCCACTGGAAGTTATGTTGGTTGATATCTCTGTAAGCAATATGCACAATTTGTGTTAATGGAAGGCAAGCTATATGCACAATTTTTGTTAATGGAAGGCAAGCAATATGCACAATTTGTGTAAATGGAAGGCAAGCAATATGCACAATTTGTGTTAATGGAGGCAAGGACCGTGAGCCAGCATTAGGAAGACAAGAATTAATGCAATTCTTTTTCTTCTGGTTCTGCATTTACCTTTAAATGGGTGGTTGCCTTGTTGCGGTTTACAGCTAGGCTGCGATATCTGTGCCTTTCATCCTAGATCTGATTTCAGCAAACCCTTAATTAATCCCATTTTATATAATTTTGTTAGGAAGCGGTGAATCTTATTCTTTTCCCCTCTAAAATAGGTTCATTGAACACAAACAGGGAAATGCAACTGAAATCTGCATTTATAGAACGATAGAGTGAATTTCAAAGAAAGACCAAATTAATCATGTAGAAATTGAATGAGTTTAAGGACAAAGTTAAACAACGTTATTATATAAGACCAAGGTTTCACAAACAAATTTCAGCAAAACAAAAAAGGTAAAGAAAAGATGCTGGGTAGCAGACACACTGGCAAAACCAGACAAAAATGAAACCATAATGTTGTTTTCCCACAACTCACAGAGTAAAAGAGAAAGAGAGAGATGTATGAAAGATCATATGTGTGGTGACTTGGCAGGAACTGAGAAAGCACAGGATAATTTAAAAGGAACTGGTTAAGGACCTAAACTCCGCAGTCAGAGAAAGGACGAAAAAAAAGACATTAAAAAACATAACAGAATATATTAAAAAAAAAAAAATTACCAAGTTAAAAACAATATATTAATTAAGAATTGACCTGACTGCTCCTGGAGAATTCCCACATATACTCATTCTTCTTCAGCATTCAACGAAGCTACATGCTGACTGTGCTAGTAGCAACCCGTTTAAATGTTATGCCCGACCTGTCCCATATTTGTTAGCCTTGCCCAGACCCTCTGCTCACTCAACACTGACTCAGTCTCACCAGATATAGGTACTTTGTTTGGTCTGATGCATTTCCCCTTTCAGAGCCTCCATTAGTTCATTATCATAAAGTAGCTTGCCGCCCAGAGGTGTGGCAGCAGCCAGTTCACCAACTTGATCACTGCCCAACACAACCACATGTTCAGGGCAGACAGAAACCCTTTGGATGCTACTGATCTGAGCTTTATCAAGCTATGCAAGCCACTCCACAAACTACCACTCATATAGTCTGTGTTACTTGGAGCTTATTTCGCAAGCTGTAACAAATACATGTTTGGAAACCTGCTTTAACACCTCAATGTCTATTCTCATACTGGGCGTTATAGGATCAAGGATTCCTTTTTTTAAAGCAAAGTCCATTCATTATAAGAGTGTTCGCATGGCTTTAAAAAAAAGTGACATGAGAATCACACCGTGGAAGATACTGTGGCTTCAATGAAATAATTCCCAAAGAAAGCAGAGGAAGCAAGAGCTAAGAGCATGAAGCCATTTATAGCTGTTCACTAATAATCACGTGCATTTGTTCTTTTTACTTCTGGCATTCATTGGCTATAAACTCCAGTGGACAAATTCTGGTTGTTCTTCCAGTTGTGGACTCTGGTCTTGGAGTTTTGTATTTACACCCATTTTACAGATCTGGCTTACATGTGCAGACTGTTGGCCTCTCGCAGATGCACTCCGACTTCAAAGGAAACCCCTAACTGGTCGACTTTTACAACACGCATGATTGGAGAGGGAGGTGGGGGGGGGTGGGGTGGGGGGGGGGGGGGGGTGGGGGGGGGGGGGGGGGGGGGGGGGGGGGTGTGGGGGGGGGGGGGGGGGGGGGGGGGGGGGGGGGGTGGGGGGGGGGGGGGGGGGGGGGGGGGGGGGGGTTGGGGGGTGGGGGGGGGGGGGGGGGGGAGTGGGGGGGGGGGGGGGGGGGGGGGGTGGTCTATTCTTTTTTTCCTTAATATGGGTCCCGGAACCCATACAGGGGACAACTGCATTAAAAACTGACCCACCTCTGAACAGAACAGACCAAGTCAAAGTTTTTCACTTATGCACTGCACACAGCAGACTCAACAAACACTCTATAATCAGGTATGAGCCAAATGGGTCTCTGTCTGTGTCTATGATGAAGAGACCCCACAACATGTCTTGCAAGACTGTCCTCTTTTGGCACAGCTATGAAGCAACATGTGGCCACATCTAGTAGACCTGACAACTAAGCTTTGGGGAAACCTAAAACACCTTGAGAGGACATCCCAGTTTATGGCCCACAGTGGATTAAGCGCAGGACCAGAGATCTCTGAAGAGGAAGACCAACCTCTCCTTTAGTCAGTGGAAGTACATTTTGATAAAGTTAATTCCTACATTCTGCTGCAGTAAAATAACACTCTGACGCAGTCAGGAATCAAATGCTGTACTAGACAGGTATCACAGGATGCATCAGTCAATGATCACATCTTGCTTGCCTATTTTTCCTTTTCCTTCCTGTTCACTGGCTGTAAACTCTTGCGGAAAGTTCTGCTTGTTCATCCTCTTCTGGACAATAACTCTTGTTGAAGAACTCGAGTTTTGCTTGCCTATGTTGAGCTGAGTCAAGAACCGACATCACAGCACTCGGGGCATTCCTATAAGCACTCCGTCCTCATTTTCAGCAGCCAGTGCAGAGTTCCGATACTAATGGTGCTCTTTGCTTGCCCATAATTAATACAACTATTCTAATAATAAGTAATAATTAGGCTAACTGGTGAGAATGACCCCGAAGGCGCCAGCAGCAGAAGCGTACATGGAAACACCAAGAGGCCGAGGAAAACCTAAAAAAAAAAAAACTAAAAATGGATCTGACAACCTAACAGCACACTGAGCAAGCCCTAGCTTGGCTATCCATTAGCTGTTTAAACAGCCTGCAGCATAAAGCAGATGTTCGACAAAAGAAAAACTCTATTTTCCAGTGACCCATCATTAAACTTACTTGTACTGTTCCTCAACCATTGCTTCAGGATCCGCCTGCTCGATGGCATTAGCGAAAAACTCATCCAGCTTCGGCAGAAACACCCGAGACTCAGCTTTGCAGGCTTCCATATTGTCTGGACACAGATTCCACAGGCGGGTCAGTTCTGGGTTTCCAAGCTTAAGTGACTTATCTCCTGAAGCCAGCAGGTCATCGCCAATTCGCTTGCGCTTTGGTCTGTTGAAATATAAATGCTACGTCACAATACAGGTCAGTACACCCACAATGCATCCATAAATCAATGAACCAATGGCCGTTTAAAAGGGTCACAAAGTGAGCATTCAGACCTGTTATATATTTTAATGTACAGTTCATCATGAAAATGCCAGACCACTTACAGCTAGAATGAACCAGGACAAACTGAAAATCTAGAGCAGCAAATTCCAGGTTATTATTCTTAGACTTATAAATGGAAATTACTTGACTAGAAAGCAGTTCAATGTAATTTCTGCCTCTGTAAATTCTGTCCATATTGTAAATAAAGCTACTCATTACAAATCTTCCTATACTGTAAATCAAGACTCAACTACTTGAATCTTACCAGCTCCCGTAAATACAGTCACCACAAGATAAACCTTGATTACACTGTAAATACAGTCACCACAAGATAAACCTTGATTACACTGTAAATACAGTCACCACAAGATAAACCTTGATTACACTGTAAATACAGTCACCACAAGATAAACCTTGATTACACTGTAAATACAGTCACCACAAGATAAACCTTGATTACACTGTAAATGTAGTCCCCACTAGATTAACCCTGATTGTACTGCAAACAGAGTCACCACAAGATAAACCTTGATTAATCTGTAAATACAGTCACCACCAGATAAACCTTGATTACACTGTAAATACAGTCACCACCAGATAACCTTGATTACACTGGAAATGGTCACCACTACCCAAATTTAGCTAACAGTGTAAATCTGGACTTACAACATATGCATCTTGCCAATACTGTAAATCTGGACTATGACAAATAAATCTGCCTACATTGTAAATAATTACTAAATGATATCATTGTGCCTTTTAAAGTCAATCTTATAAATCTTGTATTCACTATATAAATCTTGCAGATACTAGCAATTTTGCATTCACCATATAAATCTTGCAGATACTGTCAATCTTGCATTCGCTGTATACATCTTGCAGATACTGTCAATCTTGCATTTGCTGTATAAATCTTGCAGATACTGTTAATCTTGAGTTTCACCGACGATCTTGCTGTCATTATTTAAAATCTGCCATTCACTGACAATCCTGCTTTCATTGCATAAATCTTGCCTTTCACTGACAATCTTGTTATCCCTTTATAAATGTTGCTTTCACAATATAAGTCTTGCAGATACTGTCATTCTTGCTTTCACTATACAGATCTTTCCTTTCTTGCTTTCTTATTTTAAATATGCTGAAGCTGCCAATTATTCTGCCACTAGCAGCTGCCAATCATTCTGCCACTAACACCTGCCAATCATTCTACCACTAGCGGCTGCCAATCATTCTGCCACTAACACCTGCCAATCCTTCTGCCACTAGCACCTGCCAATCATTGTGCCACTAACACCTGCCAATTATTCTGCCACTAGCAGCTGCCAATCATTCTGCCACTAACACCTGCCAATCATTCTGCCACTAGGACCTGCCAATCATTCTGCCACTAGGACCTGCCAATCATTCTGCCACTAGCAGCTGCCAATCATTCTGCCACTAGCACTCAAGAGGACTTGAAGAACTGAAACCCATACTTAGCCTTGGCCTTGTTTTGCTCTTTGGGTTTTTCTTTGATAAAACTTGGGCAGCTGTCATTCTTCCAGTTGTTCCAGTGCTCTTCTCGCTCTAGTATATGCTGTCAACAAAATAAAGCAAAGAATCAGTAACAGCAGTTATCACAGTGAAAACAGCAGTTATCATAGCAGAGGCAGAGGTTGGGAGGGAGAGAGACAGAGACAGAGAGAGCGCAGTTATAGTAGAAGAGCAGTTACCAAGTAGGAAGAGCAATTATAACAGTGGAAACAGCAGTTAGAATAGAGACAGACAGACAGAGACAGTGAGAGAGAGACAGAGAGAGAGAGAGAGAGAGAGAGACAGAGAGAGAGAGAGAGAGAGAGAGAGAGAGAGAGAGAGAGAGAGAGAGAGAGAGAGAGAGAGAGAGAGAGAGAGCAAGCAATTATAGTGCAAAGTTATCATAGTGGAAAGATCAGTAGTTGTCATAGTGGGAATAGATTAGAAGTTATCATTGTGGAAATTGCAGTTATTCTAGTAGAAAGAGTGATCATCATAATGGAAAGAGCCGTTATCCTAGCTTAAAATTATCTATAATAACTTATTTCTGAAGAATAAGAGGTAAATAAATAAATAATGACTGGCTATTCAAGCCACAGCAATGATTTTTTGTTCGATTCTTTAACATATTGTGTTCTGGCATATTGGTTTGGGATCCATATTTTCTGTAGACCAATCAACACTTGATGGATGACGAGGTCAACACCACACTGCCACATTTACTTCCCAAGACATTTCCCAATTTAGGCTAGGTCAACCAGCGAGCCCAGGTCAATAAAAAATTCCACCTGATGTGGATTAAAGCTTCTTATGATATGTACGGTAGGCAACAGGGTTGTTAGTCTTTGATCATCTTAAAACGGAAATACATTTTTACAGTGTTGCTATTCTGTGATCCCGTTGTTCAACAACAATGCTTCTTATTCTGACAGACTCTCAGATCAGGCTGTCACTTGTGACAAACACCTGACTGGCAGTGTTGACATCACAACCCCAGACGTGACAGCTGCCGAAAAAGCAGCCACCACTTGCATGAGATCAGGGCAAGGATGGGTGTCATCATTGAGTCAGGAAAATACAACATATGAAATTTCCTAAGTAACTCTGTCTATATTCTCCAAATTTTCCACAACATAATTATCAGGGATGACCAGTTCTCTTCTCCAGCACCTTTGCTTCCCAGACAATTCCAAGAATTTGCAAGTATCTGGTACCCGTTCTGAGGCTGGCTTGACTCCAGAGCTGTACTTTGTAGTGTCGGTTCAAGTCTATCACATCAAAATTAACTATGGTTTTTTTCTTCTTCTGTTTCATGTTCCCCAGCTGTAAACTCTGGCAAAACGTTCTGGGTTTTCACCCACCTCCAAAAGTAGTCTTGTTCCAGAACATGAGTGTTGCACGCACATCCGTTTTACAGACCTGGCTCATCTTTATACAGGCTGTTGGTTCCTTAACTTTCAGGCAGATGCACTCCGACTACAAAGAAAGACCTTAATTGGTCGACTCTTACAAACATGCTTGTTGGGGAGGAAGGAAGTGGGTCAATTCTAGTTTTCCCCACAATGGGACCCCGGAACCCACATGAGGATAATAATGATATTGCCTGTTAGACCGGTTAAATTCCACAGATACTTTAACTACAATCCAACCAGTCATAAACATGTTTATAAATAGTATGGTGCTAAACAGAAACAACATTGTATCTATCAGTTACACTGCTGCTATAGTTTAATCCCCTTTAACAAAAACAATGTATCTTTCAGTTACAGTGCTGCTATAGTTTGATCCTCATATACAACAATATATTCTTCAGCTAGTCTTGCTATTCTGTGATCTACTTGTACAAAACAATACATGCTTCTTATTCTGACAGACTCTCAGATCAGGCTGTCACTTGTGACAAACACCTGACTGGCAGTGTTGACATCACAACCCCAGACGTGACAGCTGCCGAAAAAGCAGCCACCACTTGCATGAGATCAGGGCAAGGATGGGTGTCATCATTGAGTCAGGAAAATACAACATATGAAATTTCCTAAGTAACTCTGTCTATATTCTCCAAATTTTCCACAACATAATTATCAGGGATGATCAGTTCTCTTCTCCAGCGCCTTTGCTTCCCAGACAATTCCAAGAATTTGCAAGTATCTGGTACCCGTTCTGAGGCTGGCTTGACTCCAGAGCTGTACTTTGTAGTGTCGGTTCAAGTCTATCACATCAAAATTAACTATGGTTTTTTTCTTCTTCTGTTTCATGTTCCCCAGCTGTAAACTCTGGCAAAACGTTCTGGGTTTTCACCCACCTCCAAAAGTAGTCTTGTTCCAGAACATGAGTGTTGCACGCACATCCCTTTTACGGACCTGGCTCATCTTTATACAGGCTGTTGGTTCCTTAACTTTCAGGCAGATGCACTCCGACTACAAAGAAAGACCTTAATTGGTCGACTCTTACAAACATGCTTGTTGGGGAGGAAGGAAGTGGGTCAATTCTAGTTTTCCCCACAATGGGACCCCGGAACCCACATGAGGATAATAATGATATTGCCTGTTAGACCGGTTAAATTCCACAGATACTTTAACTACAATCCAACCAGTCATAAACATGTTTATAAATAGTATGGTGCTAAACAGAAACAACATTGTATCTATCAGTTACACTGCTGCTATAGTTTAATCCCCTTTAACAAAAACAATGTATCTTTCAGTTACAGTGCTGCTATAGTTTGATCCTCATATACAACAATATATTCTTCAGCTAGTCTTGCTATTCTGTGATCTACTTGTACAAAACAATACATGCTTTTTATTCTGACAGACTCTCAGATCAGGCTGTCACTTGTGACAAACACCTGACTGGCAGTGTTGACATCACAACCCCAGACGTGACAGCTGCCTTAAAAACAGCCACCACTTGCATGAGATCAGGGCAAGGATGGGCGTCATCATTGAGTCAAGAAAATACAACATATGAAATTTCCTAAGTAACTCTGTCTATATTCTCCAAAAACCTTTTGATCCCTGTTTAGTTTTCCACAACATAAATTACCAGGGATGACCAGTTCTCTTCTCCAGCACCTTTGCTTCCCAGACAATTCCAAGAATTTGCAAGTATCTGGTACCCGTTCTGAGGCTGGCTTGACTCCAGAGCTGTACTTTGTAGGGTCGGTTCAAGTCTATCACATTAAAAGTAACTATGGTTTCTTCTTCTTCTGTTTCATGTTCCCCAGCTGTAAACTCTGGCAAAACGCTCTGGTTCTTCGCCCACCTTCAGAAATTAGTCTTGTTCCAGAACATGAGTGTTGTATGCACATTTATTTTACAGACCTGGCTTATCTTTATGCAGGCTGTTGGTTCCTTAACTCTCAGGCAGATGCACTCCGACTACAAAGAAAGACCCTAATTGGTCGACTCTTACAAACATGCTTGTTGGGGAGGAAGGAAGTGGGTCAATTCTAGTTTTCCCCACAATGGGACCCCGGAACCCACATGAGGATAACTATGATATTGCCTGTTAGACCGGTTAAATTCCACAGATACTTTAACCACAATCCAACCAGTCATAAACATGTTTATAAATAGTATGCTGTTAAACAGAAACAACTATGTATCTATCAGTTACACTGCTGCTATAGTTTAATCCCCTTAAACAAAAACAATGTTTCTTTCAGTTACAGTGCTGCTATAGTTTGATCCCCTTAAACAAAAACAATGTATCTTTCAGTTACAGTGCGGCTATATTTTGATCCCCTTAAACAAAAACAATGTATCTTTCAGTTACAGTGCGGCTATATTTTGATCCCCTTAAACAAAAACATTGTATCTTTCAGTTACAGTGCTGCTATAGTTTGATCCCCTTAAACAAAAACAATGTACCTTTCAGTTACAGTGCGGCTATATTTTGATCCCCTTAAATAGAAACAATGTATCATTCAGTTACAGTGCTGCTATAGTTTGATCCCCTTAAACAAAATCAATGTATCTTTCAGTTACACTGCTGCCATAGTTTGATCCTCATATACAACAATATATTCTTCAGCTACAGTCTTGCTATTCTATGATCTACTTAACAATTCATGCTTCTTATTTTCACTGACTCTCAGATCAGGCTGTCACTTGTGACAAACACCTGACTGGCAGTGTTGGCATCACAACCCCAAACGTGACAACTGCCATAAAAACAGCCACCACTTGCATGAGATCAGGGCAAGGATGGGCATCATCATTGAGTCAGGGAAAAAAACATGGAGCCTTCTGGTACAACTCACAAACTCGGGCCCATCGAGGTCAGCTTACACACTATGCAACACACCTATAACTGACAGAGTCCGGCCAGGACACTGTGATTGGATGCTCCGCCTTAAAATTTGAGACGCGCAAGTGTAAGTGGCGGAGTTTTCAGCTCGGTCAAATCTCCTACTTGCGCCAAAGTATGCTCTATATTCGAGCATGTGAGCGTTTTTAACGACTGCATAACATGTACAACTAGCCCTAACCCCAAACTCTGCTTCATGGCACACTCAACCTAGGTCTGACGAGACAGTGCATTCTATGTGCCGTGGTTTCAGACTTCTTAACATTCTGCGGTGTCCTGCACAATGCTCTGTCACTGCAGACACGCAACGCTACCCTCTGCAATAAACTAATTACCTACTAAAAATCCCAGACGGCTCTCATATATCCACCAACAAACACTACTACTGCGTACGAGCAAGTATGTAATGTCGGCGGCCGCTACTCCCAGAATGAGAATTAACACGTATCGCAGAACCCTGGGTAAATACCAAAGTACAGTGGCACACCCCTCTAATCTTGACCAAGGTTGACCAGCCCAACCAACTATGAATGAAAAGTTGCGTAGTGTGTAAATGGGCAGAGCTGGCCCTGATGGGGCCGAGTTCGTGAGTTGTTCCACCCTTCTAAATAACCCAGTTTACAATTCTAGTAGAAAGAGTGGTCATCATAATGGAAAGAGTGGTTATCCTAGTATAAAATTACCTATAATAACTTATTTCTGATCCCATTCTTCAGCTAGTGTTGCTATTCTGTGATCTAGTTGTACAAAACAATACATGCTTCTTATTCTGACTGACTCTCAGATCAGGCTGTCACTTGTGACAAACACCTGACTGGCAGTGTTGACATCACAACCCCAGACGTGACAGCTGCCGTAAAAACAGCCACCACTTGCATGAGATCAGGGCAAGGATGGGTGTCATCACCGAGTCAGGAATAAATATAACCCAGTTCACATTCCAATATCTCTTTAATTCCTATTTAGTTTCCCCAAACGAAACCACAACACATTTAACCTGAATGATTTATTCCCTATATTGATACCTATTTTCCCAGGCTTTTGCCAGAAAAAGAGAGAAAAAAAACAATATATCTAGTACCTATGTATGTGGGAACTGCAGTGGTGAAGCGGCTAGAAGCTCACCTGTGGATCCAAATGTTGTGGGTTCAGGCCCTGGCAGTGCCAGACTTTTTTCACAATGAGCCTGGCTCCCAGGTCGACCAGCCTCACATGGGTGCCAGGTAATATCATAGGAAGTAAAGGCATGGGCGTGATGTTGACCACATCAACCACCAAGTGGTCTATGAAATATAGGTCTAGCCCTATATGCCTGGAGGCGTGGAAAAGAGTCCTGTACTATATTCATCTATTCATGTATAGGCACTGGGATATGCCTGTGGATCTAGAGGTGCATGGCTAGCACTATCACCACAAACTGTGCAGATTAGGAACTTTGGTTTGCCTAGACTCTTCTAATCGATCACTGGCCGTAAACTCTGGCAGAAAGTTTTAACTGCTTGTCCTCTTTTGGACCTTGGTCACGTTCCAGAACTTGAGTTTTGCATGCATATCAGTTTTTTACAGGTCTGACTAATTTGTATTCAGACTGTTGGAGCCTCACTTCTCCGACAGATGCACTCTGACTTTGAAAAAACAATACCCTTAATTAGTAGCCTCCTATAACATGCTTGTTAGGGAAGCAGTGGGTCTATTCTTTTTTTCCCCTCAACCAGGGCTCCAGAATCCACACAGGAAACTTGTAATAGTGAAAGCACCTGACCTTAATATACACTGATTTTCACTTAACAATAAGATAATAAGTGTTCACAGAATATGACTCTCAGACAATGATGTATGATGTGTAGCATCACTACCCAACCTAGGGCCACTGCCATCAAAACAGTCACCACAAGCAGGGTCAGGGCAAGGATGAATGGCATCACTGAGTCAACTACAATTATATACACAACCAAACAAATAAAGTAAAAATGAGACAAACACATAATTTTATAGATCAGCTGGGACTCACCAGGGGATGTGGTTGACATCACACTGAGCATACAGATAATTGAAGCAAAAACTGACCTTCACAGAGTTACAGAACTGTTCTCCATTAGGTGGCGTCTCACACAACAGTTTGATGACCTTCTCCTGACATTCTTTTATCCATTCGGACTGTTCATCTGTCAGAGTGTGTGCTGCCCTGAAGATAATAAAATGAACAGACATACAAGTCTCAGTCTTCCCCCCCACTTCCTCCTTTTTTCCCCCCTTTTTTTCACGACGTGTTTGAGTTTATTTTCAGGGGATGTCTTAATTTTTTAATGCAAAGAAATCTACATTTAATTATTATACACTTATTTAATACACAATTCCACATTTATTGGGGGAAAGGGGGGGGGGGGGGGGGGGGTCAGAACATACTTCAACACTATTGCGAATATTTTTTATTGATTTACACATCCACTAGTTTATATAGCAGAACTTCTGGACTCTGAAATTATCCGGCCTAGTATTTTTTTTTTTTTAAGTTATCGGTGATGAAATAAGAAATAATTCACTCTGCCAAGTCACTGTAAGCAGTCGTGTTAGACGTTATAAATTCTGTCTTAAAATTTAGAACAGTACATTTATTTTTTTTGGATTTCTCTTTTCCGTAATAAATGATTACAATGTACAGTAAAATACATGAGAAACAAAATGTACTAATAAATGATTACAATGTACAGTAAAATACATGAGAAACAAAATGTACTAAGAGATAAGAAAATATAAACAAGAGCAGGGTTTGGTATAAAAAAGATGATGGCGTTTTTAATGAAATGAGTGGGGAAGAAACCAAGTATTATATCACTCCTTTATCCGGCTTGTGGTTTCTAGCCTACTCTTCCACCACATTAGGCTGGATTTTGCAGAGCCTACTGTGATTTGATATGTCTGTTGTCTTTTTCAACAGAAGAATGAAATCCGCCCATTTGGCTGATGGTCATAATTTGGGCGTATAGTCTGGGTATGAATTATATACAAGCATCCTGCAAAAAAGCTTATTTTTTAGTGAGGTATTACTTTCTTGGAAAAACTCTTTTATAAGATTTCCTAAGCTTATTAGCTAAAAATTGAAATTCTATAACACTGTATAAATTAAATAAAATTCTATCTACATCCATATTTGTTTCTGTCTTTGCTGTCAGCTGGTCTGCAAAACTCCTCTCCTATATTCCCGGTCTACAAGTGTAAAAAAAAAGTTTGAAGAATACTGCTCAGATGCACACCCAGGATCAGGGCAGGTCAACTAAGTTTAGTCAGGAGCCAACATTTTGAAAATAGTGATCATTACAGGCCAGAGGCCCGAGTACCGCTTAGAAAGATAATACATACGGTACAACTGACAATGATCCATGGGCCACTTGCTAAGCCTCTGTGGGTCGGATGTGGCCTGCGGGCTGCCAGTTGAACAGCCCTGCCCTAGATATACACTGTTCCCGTAAAGTCTTGGTGCACTTTTCATTGTTCACAGGAAAGCAACAAAAGAAGATAGAAATGTGAAATTTGCACCAAATAAAAGGAAAACTCTACAAGTTTCGTAGTATGATGTACAAGCGTGAGCGCACACAGGTGATGACCCAATGCCGCGAACTGAACAGGTACAAAACTTGGAGAGTTTCCATTCAGATGTGCACCATGATTTTACGGACACAGGGTATTCCACTACAGCAAGAGAAGAGTGCCATAAATACCACACTACTGACATTTCTGCTTCACACAGCATTCAGGAAATTTGTAACTACTCACGTTTTAAACTTGATTGTGGCCCGGAGATACTGGAATATGATGAGGAATTGTACAAGGACGTATCTACGGAAGTTGCTGTCACTGAGCTGCAGGTTAAGCAGCTGGAAGAAAACATAAACAGGTTGGACATGAAGTTTAGAGATAAAAACAATTATAAAAATGTCTTTATAATTATATATATTATCTGTGGTTTTACAGAATAGTCCTTAGAATTCCTTGACAGCCAATGAGGGCAACCCAGATGTTTTAAAGATGCAATGGCTCACAAACAACTTATTACTTACATCAGAAAGACAGTCATAATTTTCTGGTCATGTTATGAGATGAAGGAAACTGAAACATGTTTTGACCACTGGAAAGATCTGTGGGAAGAGGCAGAAAAAAAAAAAAAGAGGAGAGAGAGGATTCTTGACAGCCTTTCCTGTTGTCATTGCACAGAGGGGTATCAGCATATAAATTGAATACATGCAGGTGAAGATTCTAGACTGTGGAGAGGCATGATCATCCACGCAAGTTGGCAAGGCACTCGATGATGATATCGTGATTATTGGATATAAATGTTGACTGACAGTATTAGACAGTGCAGCTGTGCAGGTTAGCATACAGCTGTCATAAATTAGGTTTAGGTACATCATAACACTGTGAGACACACAGAATGATGCAGATGATGGTAGAGGGAGAGGTATGTAGGGTAGGAGTGATTGGTTGAGAAAGTGAGTGATAAGAGATGGGACAGAGAAAAGTAAAAATGGATGTCTAAACTTCTGTATGTATGCACATAATTCTTTTCCATTAACTCTCTCTCTCTCTCTCTCTTACAACACAATATGCATACATATAATATTAATTTTTTTAAAACATTACATCAACACTGCAGACATCTGCAATGGATACGACCATTTGCATTCCTTGAATCAGACAGCCAGAAGCTAAAGATTTAAGAAACAGAAATCATCAAGTTCCACCCTAACCTGCAGAGGACTGCAGGGTATACCACTTGGTGAATTTTACATGCACATCCCTTTTACAGGCTATGGCTTATTTGTCAGACAGGCAGATGCACACAGACTTTGAATGAAACACCCCTAATATGTCATTTCCTATGACATGCTTGCTGGGGAAAAGGAAAGAGGATAATGGATCTATTCTATACTGTCCAAAATGGATCTCTGGAAACCACATGGAGACTAAAACAGAGGCTGGCAGACTGTGCTGTTTACAGCGGGCTGCAACATTTACAATGCCCTTTGACCCAACATTCCGATTTAAGCAAATTCTATTAGTCAGTCATCTTTAAGAACACGCATGTTAAAGAGAAGAAGGTCCATTCTTTGACCCATCCACCACCACCCTCTAACCAATCAAAATAAAATAAGACCCCAGAACCCATTTGGAGATATTTCCATAAAAATTAAAACCTATGTAATTTAATCTTGACCATGTTGTTACAGAATGAGGACATTACACACTCCACATACATGCCTAGCAAAGACATTCATCTCACCTTTTCACTGGTGAGGTACTTAGCAAAGAAATTCTGAGGGTGCTGGTGGGTCTGATGTGGCAGGGAACTCTTCTTCTGGCTGGATGAGATGTCATCCAACTTGTAGCTGGAAAATATGCTCAACACATCACCTGCATTCTGAACAGAAATCATACGTTTATAAGTATTTTCTCAAAATACAGTCATATGTTCGTTAGTATTTTCTGAAGATATAATCATATGTTTCTTATTATTTTCACAAGATACAATCATATGTTTGTTAGTATTTTCTTAAGATATAATCATAAGTTTGTCAGTATTTTGACAAGACACAATCATTTGTTTGTTAGTATTTTTTTATGATACATTCACATATTTGTTAGTATTTTCTCAAGATATACAGAGAGACTGACAAAATGCTGACTGAAGAAACAAAATAAAACTGAAAACAAAAACAAAAGAGATATTGGTGTTGGTGGGGGGGGGGGGGGGGGGGCTGGGAAATGGGGGAGGGGAGCTCAGACACACACAGAAATGCAGACAAAGAATAGAAGCAGACACACTTAGAGAAGAGGCTAAGAGAGAAAGAGAAATGAGAGAGTAAGGTAGTAAGGCAGAGAGAGAAAGAGATACACAAACAGGAGAAAGCCATATGCGAGTAAGGTAGTGAGACAAAAGAGAAAGAAAATTTAAAAAAAGAAAGAAAAGAGAGGCTGACAGACACTTGTTCTGTACCTAACCAGAGATGTACTACTACCCGTCTTAAACTCATTTAACCAATGTTAGGAATATCCTAGCCTTGAATTAACAACAGATGGAAGCACCTGTGAAAATGTCTCCCAAGATGTCTTCTCGTAGCACTGTGTTGGGCGTCTGAAGTAGTCTTGCAGGGCCCAAAATTTCCGGTACAAGTGGTAGTCTATGGGTATGGAACTGAAATGAATACAAAAGTTCAAGATAAAGCCTCAGAAAACAAACTCTGGAAGATATTCATTCATGGTTCTCTTGTGCTATCATATGTCACATAGAGATCAGTCTATTTCTCTGTTCCATTCTATCCTGTGTTCATCCGAAGATGTCATTGCGGTGTGTCTATTTAAAGCATGGCTGCGATATTTGCGCCTTTTGGCTGACACATCTGATTTCTGCGTGCATTTGTTCACTGGGTTCGGTAAGTTCTGTGTGACATTGCAGTATCCTTACTGTTCAGCATCTTTGGCTTCCCTCATAAAATTTCACCATAGGGTTTCTCATGGGCTGTTGTGTGCTGAACTCACTTGAGTGCTCAAGTGTGTCAGAGATCAGAGGCATTATCACCCATGCCAGTCGACAAGGCGCTTGATGCTGATGATGACAGAGGCGATTGCAAAAGGTACAAGCTACCTGAAGTTGTGAGACAAGTGTCTCTAGAGATTAACATGTAACAGCAGCCTCCACATGGATTGTGAGACAAGTGTCTCTAGAGATTAACATGTAACAGCGGCCTTCACATGTATTGTGAGACAAGTGTCTCTAGAGATTAACATGTAACAGCAGCCTCCACATGTATTGTGAGACAAGTGTCTCTAGAGATTAACATGTAACAGCGGCCTCCACATGTATTGTGAGACAAGTGTCTCTAGAGATTAACATGTAACAGCGGCCTTCAAATGTATTGTGAGACAAGTGTCTCTAGAGATTAACATGTAACAGCAGCCTCCACATGTATTGTGAGACAAGTGTCTCTAGAGATTAACATGTAACAGCGGCCTTCACATGTATTGTCAGACAAGTGTCTCTAGAGATTAACGTGTAACAGCAGCCTCCTCATGTATTGTGAGACAAGTGTCTCTAGAGATTAACATGTAACAGCAGCCTCCACATGGATTGTGAGACCAAGTGTGACCGACCGCTGGAGGTGAACCCATCTCAAGTCAGTACCTCTCGGTCAGTGAAATAAGTTGGACACATCTGACCTTTGTTCAAAATAATGTGTACTATCCCCTCCAACATAGCACAGTCTTCTTTGTCTTATAACTGTTGCTTTTAATGGTTTCCCAAACATTTCTTTCATTTCTTCACTCCTCTTGAATTCATCCCATTTTATGTTCAGAATCTTCCTCAGGCATTTGTTTTCAAATGTATTTAACTTTCATTCCACATCCATATTCATGGTTCTCTTAGAATTGCAAAAATGTAGCTTGGTTCTAAAACTAAATAATTTAGAGCTCCATTTTTTCTTCAAGTTTTTAAAAGCTACTGATGTCTTACCAATGTCTGGCACAATTTCTTTGGGTTTCCTTGACTTTCAACATTAATATGTAAATAGGTCAAATGTGTAATAAGAATCTATAAAAAAAAAAAATGGCAACATTCAAAAATAAGAAAAGCTAGACACACAATATATATAGCATTTTATCACGTACGTTGCTGGAAAAGAGTATATGATCATGAAACATCAAGGATTAGTTTATGAGAACTCCAAATAAATGGTTTAGAACACAATTTTTCAAACTGACCATCCTGACAAATATATTCTACTCTTTAGGTTGTACCTTTAATTTGCCTAAAATTTTGTTCAACATCTTTTCTCTAGAAAAGTAAATGTTATCTATTTTACAAAAAAGGTCTCCCTTTATTTCTTGGGTTCTGTGGGTTCCAGTGTGAGAATACTCTAGTTATATTATTAAGTGGTTTCTCAAATGCGTGCCCTATCTTGCATCAGCATACTCTCTTCCCCTCTTTATTTACTAGAATTTGTTCATCTCTCCCCAAGCAGTTCAGATTTGTGATCATTTTTAGCAGTTTCTAAAGTATGCAACATGCACATGGTCATCTATATGTTTCACCCTTATATTTTGCTATTTACCTACAGTGTAACTGTCAGGCACAAAGATCTCACAAACAATTACTAAGACAAGACAAGACACAATGTGCATACCTTGGCTGTTGCTCTGCATTATCAACTTCCATTGCTTCATTCTTAATCTGCCCCTGAGCCTGAAAAACAAGGCAGCAAAACATGATATAAAGATGTATGACCCTCAACTTTTCGGGCACCATGGAATGTACCATGCACTGATTTATAACTACCTTAACTGTGCTCTAGTAAACAAAAAGCTAAGGTATGTTTCTTAAATGCACTAAGGACAGAATCATCATCATACGTACCTTAACAAAGATAACAAATACACACACTGCTCTAGTTTTATCTTCTTAGAGATCACCATCCGTGAACACTGGCAGAAAGTTCTGGTTGTTTGTCCACTCCTGGAATTTGGTCTTGATCCAAAACTTCAGTTTTGCGTGCACATCCATCTTACATGTCTGACTAATCTAATGCAGACTGTTGGTTCCTTGGCTTTCAAGCAGATGTACCACATCTTTTAAAAGGAAACACTCCTAATCAGTTCCCTCCGACAACATGCTTGTTAAGTGAGCAGTATGTCTATTCTTTGTTCTCCAAACCAGAGCCCGGAACCAACACTGTGAGCTCTAGTTTACCTGTTATTTTATCCATCACCAGTGATGAATACCACTTTTCATCACAGTCGTAGTGACCAATGATTATGAGTACGAAGGTGGCTGATTAGTCCAGTCTAGAGCTTGGACAGTTCTTGAGCAGTGCGGACAATAGGTAGAAGCCGCAGTAAGTGTGGGAGTTTAACCTACTGAATGTAGTTCAGGTTACTATCAATGCACACCATTGATACGTTCAGTGGTGCTCTGACTCATTCCAGGTAAACCCATCAGCGTACAATGCCTGTGTTGATATAATGTTGGTTGATAAGTTTCTTCTCACATTTGGTGTGCCTATTCTACCTGGGCGGCGTCCGTGGCTAAGGCGTTGCGAGTCCGACTCGTAAGCCAGCATACCGCGATCGAAACCCACTGCAGGCTGAGCGGATTTTTATCGTGGTATGGGACGTCGCAGGTCGACCCAGCCTAAAATGGGTACCAGGATGGGCTGTCCTGGGAAAGTAAAGACAGCCGGCGTAATGCTGACCACATTACCCACAGAGTGCTGATGGTCTGTAAAAATATGGGATGCTCTGCCCATATGCCCGATGCGCCGAAAGGCATGAAAAGGGATCTTTACTTTACTTTTACTTATTCTACCTGGCCACACTGACCTACAAGCTGAACATCTATATTCTGTATGCTGTTCTATTCAGCCTAACTTTCTTGTTATTAGACCATACCTCTTAGTTTGACCAACTGGTTGAGCCTTCAATATTGTGGCAGTAGTGTCTATCAACCAATCTGCTCTTTCACTGCCCACAGAACCTACATATCATGAGTAACCTGAATTTCTGGACGTTAAAAGTCTTTCTTTAACATGACTACTCTGCCTTTGTTAATTTATTTTCATACATGGGTTCTGTTCCGCTGAGGTCATATTTTGGGGTGGGGGTGGGGGAGGGGTTGGTGAAAAGGTGGGTGAAAAAGAAACAGGGGAGGGAAAGCAGGAAAGGTTGCGGCAACTGCTCCTCAACTCTTCCAGTCCCAAACAATGTCCTACGGGTGACAGGATTTAATCATATGCACCAGTTAACATATTATTATCCTTGTAATTGTATGTTTAGTCATCATCATCATCAGGTGCCTTACCGACTGGCGTGGGTGATCATGCCTCTCCATAATCTGCGATCTCCTGCAGCATGTATCAGTTCGTGTGCCGATACATCTCCATGCCATGCAACAAGACTGTCAAGCATCTTCTCTCGTTGTCTTTATCTCTCCTTGCACAGATCTTTCCAGTGGTCACAACATGTTCTATTTTCCCTCTTCTCATAAAATGGCTGAAAAATGATGACTGTCTCCTTCTGATGTCTGTGATAAGTTGTCTTCCGGCTCCCGCCTCTTTCAAAACTTTTTGGTTGCTCTTTTTGGCTGTCCAAGGTATTCTGAGCATTCTTCTGTAAAACCACATCTCTAAGGCCTCTAGAAATTGTTTGGCCTGCCTACCGATTGTCCAGGATTCACATCCATATGTTAAAACTAGATGTATGTAGCAAGCAAGAATTCTTTTTCTAACTCTCAATGACAAGGATATTGCACAAGATGTTTTTCATTTTATAAAATACAGTTTTTGCCTGTCCTATTCTGTTTCTTATCTCAGTTATGCATCTTCCATCTGATGCTATCCATGTGCCCAGATACTTCAATTTCTGTACTTGTCCTAAGATAACACCATCAACTTTTATCACACACTTAGGAATAATTCGTTTCTTTGATACCACCATTACTTCTGTCTTCCCATTATTCAAACTAAGGCCCATTCTTCCACTTTCTAACACCACAATGTCTATCATCTTGTGTAGTTCTTTCTGACTTGTTGCTATCAAGACTGTGTCATCAGCATAACGTAAATTGTTTATATTGTGCCCACCAACCACAGTTCCGGGCATACTAATAAAAGATCTCATTATATTCACTGCATATTGAAAACAAATCAGGTGACAGTAAATATCCTTGTCGTACGCCCCTCTTTATGCTTTGAAATGTACCTAAACAGTTAATTCTTATAGCTGCTGTTTGCTGCCAATACATATTCTTTATTATTCGTAGATCTTTCCCATCAATGTTTAATTTTTCGAACAGTTTCATTACTTCTTCATGCTTCACACAGTCAAATTATGTTTAGTCTGGCATGCTAAAACACTCAACAACAAATTTGTCTCCCAAAAAGGCTATGTATTTGGGCCCTGGGGATGTAGTATACTTATTATTTTGTTGATTTCACAATTGAATGCTAACTTATGGATGTAAGAGTTGGAAAGCAACAAAAGCTCTAGATTTTAAAAAATGTAGACAATTTTCAGAACAGATGTCTTAGAAGAATACTTAATCTCCGCTCAAGAAGCTGAACATTAATGATTCTATTATACCATTCCAATTCTCTCTATTCTGGGCAGCCACCAGTTAATAAATGTTTGTAGTTTTTTTTTTTTTTTTTGGTTTATTGTCTGTTTTAGTTGTCTTCTATGTTTCAGCTCCCATTTATTTGACACTAGGAAACTATTATACAGTTACACATATTACACATCAAAGAGAAGCTAACAACATCCTACAAGCTTGTAGTTTACACTGCTACTTTCAGCTAAGACTCCCTTGTACACTGACTTACTTCATCAGAGGGCTCTTGTTTAGCAAAGATTGTCAGATTATCCAAGTTGAACTGGCTAGCAAGGTTAAGAGCTGAAACAAAGTAATAGTTATTCAATGCCGTGTCATAAACTCATTTTGTATTTTCTTCTTAGCATTCACCAGTTCCAAACGTTAACTCTGGCGGAAAGTTCTGGTTAGTTGTCTACTCCTGCACTCTGGTGTTGATCCAGAACTTGAGTTCTGCATGCACATCTGTTTTACAGTTGTGGCTTATCTGTATGCAAACTGTTACTTGCTTCTCATGCAGATGCACTTGGACTTTGGAGGCAATACCCCTAATGGCTGCCTGCCTCCTACAACACACTTGTGGATGGGGGAGAGGGGAGAACTGTAGGTATATTCTGCGTTCTCCAAAATAGAGCCCAAGAACTCACACAGTAAAAAGTTTTTTTTTTTAAATTAGCACTCTGTGATGCCCTTTTTGTCTGTCCTTGGAGTGCTGACTGTCGGCCAGAGCCTCTGTTCACCCCTAGCATACGATTCTCTCCAGACCATACTGATCTATGCCTGCTTCTGCCTCGTTCACTTGCTCCTCATGGGCTTTGACCACATTTGACTTGTCATGCAATTAACTGACCACCCAGTCGTACAGCACCAGCCAATCTGTCTGCTTGTTAATTTCCCAATACTTCTGCAATTAACTGACCACCCAGTCGTACAGCACCAGCCAATCTGTCTGCTTGTTAATTTCCCAATACTTCTGCAATTAACTGACCACCCAGTCGTACAGCACCAGCCAATCTGTCTGCTTGTTAATTTCCCAATACTTCTGTACAACTCAAAGATAAGAACTTGACACTGGACATCAGCTATGAAAAATTTACACACAAAAAACATAGTTATCTTAATCTGGACAGAATAAAGCCTATTTTCACTTGAGCGATCAAGGACAATGGAATTACTCACGAGAGGAACATAATGCTTAACATCAACAGAAGAAACAATTATGCACAAATCTACAACAGAAAAGACAGTTATGTACAAATCTACAACAACAGAAAAGACAGTTATTAAAAATCTACAAGAGAAAAGACAGTTATGTACAAATCTGCAACAACAGAAATGAGTTATGTACAAATATTCAACAGAACACAAACATTTGAATTTACCACCATTTACAACACAACCGTCAACGCACCTGATTTCTCTGACAGCGGGAAAAGGCGAGATAAGAAGAGCTGTATTCGTCCACAAAATACAGTGTTCTGGGACTTTGATAACCGTCTAATGAGATCTGGAATTAAACATAATGGCATTCTTAATTAATTTGTCTTCCATGATAACATTTTAATGTTTTATTTCTTGTTTCACTCTCTTAAAATTGTCAAATTCTGAAATGTCGGCTTTTGTATTAATTTTATGAAAAGAGTAGACATATGAATTTGAATGTCTAAGTTTCCTCAATGATCCATTAAGTATAGTTTCCACGGTTATTGTTAGTAATAAGTAATGTGAAATTTCAAATTTGCATGTTGCAGCTTTTTTTTGTCCAAGCATGGCTCTGGCTCTCAGGTTTGACCCAGCCTAAAGTGGGTACCAGGTAAAGTCCTGGGAAGTAAAGGTGACTGGCATCATGTTGACCACATCACCCATTAAGGACCGACTGGTCTATAAAGATATGAGTCTAGGCTCACATGACAGATGCCCCAATGGCATCTAAATGGACCTTTCCAGTTCATTGTAAAATTAAAGAAAATTCTTACCAGCCTTCAAATTATAAGAGACATGGAAGCTCAAAATGTCATGTTGCTGAAGATTTTCTGGTATTGATTACATGCTACTGACAAAAGTAGGTTGTTGGGTGGAGTAGATAGAGGGTTACACCCTGTGGGTGGAGTAGATCAAGGGTTACACCCTGTGGGTGGAGTAGATCAAGGGTTACACCATGTGTGTGGAGTAGATCAAAGGTTACACCCTGTGGGTGGAGTAGATCAAAGGTTACACCCTGTGGGTGGAGTAGATCAAGGGTTACACCATGTGGGTGGAGTAGATCAAGGGTTACACCCTGTGGGTGGAGTAGATCAAGGGTTACACCCTGTGGGTGGAGTAGATCAAAGGCTACACCAGGTGTGTGGAGTAGATCAAAGTAAACACCCTGTGTGTGGAATAGATCAAGGGTTACACCAGGTGTGTGGTGTAAGTATATCAAGGGTTACATCATGTGGGTGGAGTAGATCAAACCCTGTGTGTGGAGTAGATCAAAGGTTACACCCTGTGGGTGAAGTAGATCAAAGGTAACACCCTGTGTGTGGATAAGTAGATCAAGGGTTACACCATGTGGGTGGAGTAGATCAAGGGTTACACCATGTGGGTGAAGTAGATCAAGGGTTACACCATGTGGGTGAAGTAGATCAAAGGTAACACCCTGTGTGTGGAGTAGATCAAGGGTTACACCATGTGGGTGAAGTAGATCAAAGGTTACACCATGTGGGTGGAGTAGATCAAGGGTTACACCATGTGTGTGGAGTAGATCAAGGGTTACACCATGTGGGTGGAGTAGATCAAAGGTTACACCATGTGGGTGAAGTAGATCAAAGGTTACACCATGTGGGTGGAGTAGATCAAAGGTTACACCATGTGGGTGGAGTAGATCAAGGGTTACACCATGTGTGTGGAGTAGATCAAGGGTTACACCCTGTGTGTGGAGTAGATCAAAGGTTACACCAAGTGGGTGGAGTAGATCAAGGGTTACACCATGTGGGTGGAGTAGATCAAAGGTTACACCATGTGGGTGGAGTAGATCAAAGGTTACACCCTGTGGGTGGAGTAGATCAAAGGTTACATCCTGTGAGTGGAGTAGATCAAGGGTTACACCATGTGGGTGGAGTAGATCAAAGGTAACACCCTGTGGGTGGAGCAGATCAAGGGTTACACCATGTGGATGGAGTAGATCAAAGGTAACACCCTGTGGGTGGAGTAGATCAAGGCAGACGCCTTTCAACTTTGAAGAGAACACACTTAATAACAATTATTAAAATGACATACTAGTCACGGGGGCAGTGAGTAAATTCTGTTTTCTCTCCCTAAAATGGGGCCCTGGAACCCCAATGGGGGAGCAGAAGACCTGTGAGAGCACATTTGACATATAAAAAAACATACAAGGCCTGATACTTTGCTAGAAAGTTTAGTAACATGTCTCACCATTGCACATTCTAAGAAGGTAATTCTTGCCAGATTCATAGAATGGCTCCTGCAAAAAAAAAATAATGACAAATGTATTATTTACTCAAATAAAAGGTGTCGTTGTATAATATAGTGTCTACTCAAATCTTCTGCATCGCGCTTAAATGTGTAGTCGGTACACTGTGGTCTGACACATTCAATTTCAGCTAACCCTTAATTATTTGCCTTTTTTGACATGCATGTTTGACATGTCTATTCCTCTCCCTCCCCACCCCCAATGGTGGGTTTCTGAGCCCAAATAAGAAGTTTATTCATATGAATCTGCCAATTCCTCACTTCATTTATTTGAACAGTAGTAAACAACAATTGACTAAATGTTTTATCTCTACCAGATATTGTTGGTTTAGTATTAAATTTGTTCCATGGTTGTTGAAATCCATGTTCTTTAACAGGTGGACCAAAAATGTAACAAGGTTGAGGAACATGTGCTCCAACAATGTCAACTGTATGCTGACAACAGAGGAGCAATCTGGCCTGTACCAACCACAATGAAGACAAAGCTGTATGGTATACAAGAGGATATGGACCGCACAATAGCTTTCATAAAGGCCACCAGCCTCCTGATATAAGTTTTCTAAGAGAAAGATAGAAGAAGAAGATCAGCCTGTTTAAAATGGTTACTCCTTATTTGTAAGAGAAAAAAATTAAAGAGGATGGAGTGGCATACATGCAGACATAGTACAATTCAGTATACAGTGAAATATGAAAATGGAACTGAACTGAACTGAATTTCTACCCCACCAGGACATCACACAAGCGATAAACACCCGATGACACAAAGTGCCACCATGTGGATGAGGATCGCCGTGGAGAGGTCCCAGAAACCGCATTCAGACATTTGGCCATATATGGCCTGCCTATATTGCGGCCCCTGGCAAAAGCCAGAGTAGGGCTTCAAATGACAAAAAATTTCGTCCTAGAAAGGACGAAGTTAAAATATAATATGAAAATGGAGAACCCATGTGGCCATAGAAACATCTACGCTGCAAATCATAAACCTTTTCTGTATTTTGGGTGTTTATTGTAAATGAAGAGTTAACTCCTTACAAACCGTGACCAATACATTGGTTAAATTTTCATTTGCCATTATATCTACAATATTTAATTTAACAATTACATTGGTGGCACAGGTTATTGTGCATTTCTTTATTTATTGCGACAATCAGTAAAACTAAACCTTTGCTGGAGTTATATCCCTTTAAATATGTTTCCCTATTAGGTCCTTTAAATATTTAACTTTTAAAAATCGTATTTCGCTGTTATCTTCCTTGAAACCACATATCTATAGGTGTCTAAGACAACACAATTGTCTGTCTCACAAACTGTTAAATATTAGTTACTAATACATGTTAGTATTACAGGGGCTGCCTCGGGTGCCCTTGGGGGCAATGACTAAAGATACGGCAGCAGTGGAGGCAAAGATGAAGTAGAAGATGGGATATTATAGGATTTTAGTTAGACCCTATTTCCACTAGGCCTACATAAAGAGCAGCGGGGAAGACCAAGATGAAGTAGAAGATGGGATATTATATGGTTTTAGTTAGACCCTATTTCCACTAGACCTACATAAAGAGCAGCGGGGAAGACCAAGATGAAGTAGAAGATGGGATATTATAGGGTTTTAGTTAGACCCTATTTCCACTAGACCTACATAAAGAGCAGCGGGGAAGACCAAGATGAAGTAGAAGATGGGATATTATAGGGTTTTAGTTAGACCCTATTTCCACTAGACCTACATAAAGAGCAGCAGGGAAGACCAAGATGAAGTAGAAGATGGGATATTATAGGGTTTTAGTTAGACCCTATTTCCACTAGGCCTAAATAAAGAGCAGCGGGGAAGACCAAGATGAAGTAGAAGATGGGATATTATAGGGTTTTAGTTAGACCCTATTTCCACTAGACCGACATAAAGAGCAGCGGGGAAGACCAAGATGAAGTAGAAGATGGGATATTATAGGGTTTTAGTTAGACCCTATTTCCACTAGACCTACATAAAGAGCAGCAGGGAAGACCAAGATGAAGTAGAAGATGGGATATTATAGGATTTTAGTTAGACCCTATTTCCACTAGACCTACATAAAGAGCAGTGGGGAAGACCAAGATGAAGTAGAAGATGGGATATTATAGGATTTTAGTTAGACCCTATTTCCACTAGACCTACATAAAGAGCAGCGGGGAAGACCAAGATGAAGTAGAAGGCCGGATATTATAGGATTTTAGTTAGACCCTATTTCCACTAGGCCTAGATAAAGAGCAGCGGGGAAGACCAAGATGAAGTAGAAGATGGGATATTATAGGGTTTTAGTTAGACCCTATTTCCACTAGACCTACATAAAGAGCAGCAGGGAAGACCAAGATGAAGTAGAAGATGGGATATTATAGGATTTTAGTTAGACCCTATTTCCACTAGACCTACATAAAGAGCAGTGGGGAAGACCAAGATGAAGTAGAAGATGGGATATTATAGGATTTTAGTTAGACCCTATTTCCACTAGACCTACATAAAGAGCAGTGGGGAAGACCAAGATGAAGTAGAAGATGGGATATTATAGGATTTTAGTTAGACCCTATTTCCACTAGACCTACATAAAGAACAGCGGGGAAGACCAAGATGAAGTAGAAGGCCGGATATTATAGGATTTTAGTTAGACCCTATTTCCACTAGGCCTACATAAAGAGCAGCGGGGAAGACCAAGATGAGGTAGATGATGGGATATTATAGGATTTTAGTTAGACCCTATTTCCACTAGGCCTACATAAAGAGCAGCGGGGAAGACCAAGATGAAGTAGAAGATGGGATATTATAGGATTTTAGTTAGACCCTATTTCCACTAGGCCTACATAAAGAGCAGCGGGGAAGACCAAGATGAGGTAGATGATGGGAGAATAAGACTTTCTTCTACTATCCCCAGGTGAAGCCAGGCAATTAAATCTAGTTATACATAAAAAACAAACAGATGAATACACTGTCCATTCAATTCATAGTGTATGGATTTTTGCAAAGTAAGAAAATTGAATAGTATGCCCCCTCTTGATCCTATTTTACCAGCCTATATAACTAGCAATATATGTGCAGTGTTTAGGCTAAAAAAGGCAGTTTGAAATATTATGGGTCAGTAAAGGTGGCATGAGACCGAGCGTCAATGGCGTATAGAAACACATGGCTAGCACCATATACCCGATATGCCTCAACGTGTGGAAAAGTGCCTTCACTACTGTCTCTTACGGACTATGTTTGCTGTTGGCATCTTTCCATACAATAGTGTTGTTATACTGTGCTATGGGAAGACAGAGGAATCACAGCTCATGATGACGGAAGGCCAGGGTTGAAGTTTCTTATCTTCAAAGCACAAAGCCTGATCACTACTTAAAGACCATGTGTTGCTTATGCATTGTGATCCCTCCAAAGGAAAGATAACACCTACACATTTAGAACAAAGCTAGAATCAGATGCTGCCAGATCAGAAGAGCAATGCCCTATCTGTGACTGTTAGAGCTTCCCTCCTAGACCAGCTGCCAGCCAAGGTTAAAGACCTAGTTTGCCCTACAATGACATGAAGTTTTCAGATTGCACCCCCCCCCCCCCTTTACAAAGTCACTGGCATGTGAGATGTCAGGTTACTGACTATGGTATAAACACAAAAACTTACAGACTTCCAGACAGTGACTTTGTCTTCCACCAGATCAAAGATGGCTTCACAACGTTCTATTGTCAGCATGTCAAAGATGTCAGCCATCATCAGGAACGGAGTTGATGGGGAACACATGTCTGGGAATATACAGATATAAATCAATTCACAAGAGCAAGATGGCAAAATTCAATATGTGAATATTTATGTGAGGATTAGAAACACTAAACGAGTTAAACATCTGTGAAGATGACCCCTAAGTGGCAGTCAGAACTGGTGTTGTATAACATTTAGGCAGCCTGTTCTAGTGTAAGGATCTCTGCTGTGTAGTTGGAACAGAATTTACCAGTGAGTATATACTTTGTGGTTGCCTGGGTATGCAATAAAGATGCCAGCTCCCCCATTTTTAACCGCGCTTGTTGCTGATTCATCGGTGTAAGCATGTATCCATGACTGTTCGGGATAGTTTTCTTGGATCATACTAAGAGCAGCTGATCATTTCTGAAGTTCAATGGACTCATCTCCGGCTGTGAGTCCACTGACTGAAGTCATTATCTGTATCATGTCGCTGAGTTGATCCCAAGGTTCAGGGTAAAGGGTAGGTTTCAGCGGCGTTGTTCATATGGGTAGATCTGCTAGATATACTCTTTTCCCTCTTTGGACAAATCTACTATCTCTGAGACGCCCCAATGCCAGATCATCTAGTCTTGCTTTCACTGGGTATGACTGCATACTATTAAACTCATCATTAAACTGGATCAGTTGTAATGTCTTTTCTAAAGGACAATGTCTGCACTGCAGTTATTTCCTGCATTTCAGGATCGGTGCAGTTTTCACGGATCCTGTGATTCGTCTAAGGGCTTGTTTTTGCACTCTGTATAATGATTGCAGACAACCAAGCTGTTGTACTAAACTGCCAAGTTGGGTCTTATTGCTCTATTATAAAATTTCTTTGCGGTTTTTTACGTTTGTTCCCCAACTTGTAGCTGTCAGCTTTCTAAGTAGCCCTAGTCATCTCCTGGACTTTCTTTCTACATTTTCTATGTTTGCTCCACGTGAGCCTTTTATCAAATTTCACTCCAAGATAAGTGGGGAAACTTTCTACCTTTAGCAAGGATGTTCCTAGGTGAATACCAACAGCTTTATCCCTAGGGTAAAGAGAGAAAAGCACTGCGGATGTTTAGAAGTTAACTCACCCTGTCTGACAGCCTGAATTGCAAACGTGATGACAGACTTCAGAAGCTCTGCATTGGAAGTGTCCGACTGTTGAAAACACCAGAATATAAACAAAAACTACATTAATTCATACATAAATTAAAACAGTCTTAAAACACACTCAAACTATTGTATATCAAATATTTTGCTTGTAGATCTCAGGTGAGGGAGTTTTGTTCTCTTTAACTTTTCTAGCTTTAAAAGACTGTTGTAATCACAATCTGTTTCTACTTTTTTCTACTGTAAAGGATTTTACCCCCGTTCAGTTTTTAAACGTCAAAATCATCTACTTGTATACTCTAATTTTATTGCGTGCAAACTCACTTAAGTATGTAAGTATGTCAGACGTCAAAAGGTGTGTGTGTATATATAATGATAGTTATGATATGTTCAACAGGGTGAGGGTGGATGTCTGAGCCACCTGGAGTTTGAAATTCATGGGTAAATGCAGAATCTCACCCCCCCCCCCCCCCCCCCCCCCCCATTTTCCTCTCTCTCCGCTCACTCACTCCCCCCCCCCTCCCTCTTTGCCTTTATTCTTCTAATATTATAAACAAATCTGTTGACAAACAGAACTGCTTTTCAATTGTATTAGTTCAAATTTTGTTCTTATCCTGTAAACACTGGTATTACAATCTTCTTTATTTTTAAGATGTTCTAAACACCATACTTATAATGATGCAACTGAGCAAGATTGTAATCTTTGCTCACCTTTAGTTACAACACTATAAAGCCCTGATGTTGCAAATAAGACTTCAAGCAGTGGTAACACAGAGACTGTCTCTATTTTGTGTCTGGCAAATCAACAATTAATTAACCACAGCAACAATATAGCATATCTATTCCTATTATACATCTCAATGCTGCTACGTCATTTATCTATAGCAGCCTAATGTCAGAACCAAAGAAGCTGTTCCATGTATCTACAAAACCAGCAACAGCTGGCTACAAATTATAAGAGCTTTTCCCGAGACATCTGAAGTTACACAGCACACAAAGAGAAGCTTCTCACTGTTTCATAATGGTGAGAATAATGTCTGTATATGAATACATTCTGGGGATTGATTTGGTTTAGATGATATTCTTTAGCACGCCGTGCTCAAAACTGAAGCAACACTTGCTTTGCAGTGTAGATAGTATGTTTTATTTGGTGCAGTTTGTCCAGATCAGATCCAATCACTTTAATCTCAAATCATTTCAGCTGCCATCTTTGGAATGAAGGTCAGCTGGAATAGATTTCCTGCTCTCTCTTTCTATCATACACACACACACACACCAAGATTGTACACAAACATTTTCTTTCTATATTTCCCTCCAGTATAATTTCTAAAAGGGTATTTTTTTTTTTAGTCATGAACAATATTTTTTTGGACAAATTTAATCATGTCTTTACGTTCCTTATCAAAGATTTCTTTACGTTTTAATTTTTTTGTAAAAATCTAATAATAAATTAACACAGAACTGGTGTCGTTAGCTGCTACACGCTACAGAATTTACTGAGGAGGGGATCCGAGCACTTATGGACTGAGTGGTTCCATGTGCAATGAGGATTATCTGTCAACTAACTAACTAAATTTATTTGCCATTTTATCTTACTAAGATGAATTCACTATTTCCTATATATCCATATTTCCTGTGAATTAATTCCTTATTCTATCTACTAGATCATAATCCAATACTCAATGCCTTATAGTCAGGGAAATATAATTGAGAACACCTCTGTGTTAAATGATAATACAGTAAAACTTTGTTAACACAAATTCCAAGTGAGAGAAACATCAAGAGTCAATGTTTTATTAAACAAAAATTATGCTACAGGGACTAAAACACTGTAATAATGCATGGTAAAACAGCTCTCCGGTGGACAGCAGGTGGAAAAAGGAGACGTGGATGACCTAAGGAAACCTGGAGGACAATAGAACAGGAAATGAAGGAATGTAAACTGACATGAGATACCATGGGCAGAAAAGCAGCAGACCGGCAGCAATAGAGATCACTTGCCTTATGTGTCAACAGCGACATGAAGAGGATATAGAATACATGTACATCCCTGTCGGAACCAAAACTGTAATCTTATCCAAGTGTCTGAAGCAAGTTCGTGTTAAAAAGGTTTTACTGTGTCTCTGCAACCCGACAACACGCAATTAAAACAAAACTAAAAAAGCTTTTTGTTTTTTAAAGTTCTGTAATATAGTTACTCAGTTTTCTTTTTTAATCATTTACTTTTAAACTAAAATCACTGAATTACAAATTGAATAGATTGAAAAAAGGCTGTGGGGAAAAGTGAATGGACCCCTTTCCACGCCTTCAGGCATACGGGGCTAGAGCTAAACTGCATAGACCAATCGGCACTTGGAAGGTGACATGGTCAACATCACACTGATGGCCTTTACTTCCCAGGACTTTTACCTCGTACCCATTTAAGGCTGGGTCAACCTAGGAGCTAAGGTCATTACTGGAAAAAGTCCAGCTCGCATAGATTGAATAGCCATTACTAAATGTGTACAAAATACTATTTCATTATAAGAACTGAAATGTGCTACTTACAACCATTTTACACAAAACGTCCCTGAACACCTGATCCAGAACTGTCCTCTTCTCGAGACCTCTAAGGAAAAAAAAAATATTATGTTACACTTACAAGAACATGTGAGAACTATGAAAGAACATGTCTACACTTTATTTTTGTAAAATTGACATTTTTAAATTTTATTTTGACTAAAACTAGTTATACACTGGAATGACTTCTCATCCCACGTCTTTACTTCTCATTTATTGTTTTCACCTCTCATCTGATATCTTGTCTTATTTAGTATCTCAACGTCCACACCTGTCATTTGATATCTTCATCTCTCATCTACTGTCTTCACCATTCATCTGATATCTTCATTTCTCCTCTACTGTCTTCACTTTTCATCTGATATCTTCATTTCTCATCTATTATCTTCACTTTCTGTATCTTCGCCTATCATCGGATAACTTCTCTCCTCTGATGTCTTCAGTCCTCATCCTACATCTTCATTTCTCATCTAATGTCAACACTACTCATCTGATATGTTCACTTCTAATTTAATTGCTTCACTGGTCTGAGGTCTCAACCTCTCAGGTGATGTCCAACTTCTTGTCTATCTTTATTTCATCTGATGTCTTCACTCTCACCTGATGTGTCCAATGTAGTCAAACGATTCACAATCACTATCAACTTTTGACATAGCTTATAGAATACATAAGATTAACAACTGCACTATGTATGGTTTAACTCAAAGAAGGCACCATGTCTAGAATCTTCATGTCAACTTAATAATAACAGCTATTCAACACAATGCAGTTCTTCAATGTTTTGCAACAAATACCAACGTATGTGGTCTATTAACATACATGTCATCCTGATAGGAGTCCACAAATGTCAGCAAGCTTTCCACATCATTCCTTGCCAGTGATTTTTCTAGAACATTCTAGGGGGAGGAAGAAAAAAACAAGTACACATTACTAAATGTTGGTAGACAATACACTGTGTTGTAGCCTTTTCATCCCAAGAAGGCTAAATCCAGTCAACTCAGGTTCTGACAGCGTGTAAATACAGAAATATCGCCATATAAGTGAAGTAAAAAAAAAGGACTCTGTCTCATAAGTGCTGATAGTATTGGCTGCACAGACATTTTACTTATTTCTTTACCTCTCTTGAATTAATTCCAATCTACGTTCATCTTTACCTCAGGCATTTGTTTTCGGATGCATTTAACTTTCCTTCCATACCTTTAGTTGTTCAACTTTCACTGACATGTTAAAACAAACAACAATTAGTAAATAAATGTTTGTTATAAACATAAATTTAATACTTGACTCCTCAGACTTTACTCTTATCTCACTTGTAATTATAAACTAGAATTAGATGAATACAGGGTTTAATTGCATCTGAAAATGTCTATCTGCTGCAGACCTGTTTCTGCAACTATGCGCACCGTCGACAGTATCCCCCACGGCACTACGAGCGGATGAGGTTGCTAAACTAGATGATTGGGACTCACGAGCAGCAGCTACCGTATCTCTTGCAACTTCCTCTAATTTATTTGCTGCTACGCGCGGCACAAGGGATACTGTCACTGGTGAGTTTAACTGCGTTTTGCGCCTGCTTAAGTGTGAGGACAACGACGACGCTCATCTGCATCGAAGCACGTGGTCTCCCCACCATGTCGCTACAATTTCGTCTGAAATGTTGCGTGTCTCGAAATTGTCAATGGTTGCTAGTATCATCTGCAGAAAAGCTCAAAATTGTCAAAGGTCGCTGTTATCGTCTGCAATGTTGCGTGTCTTGAAATTGTCAAGTAATCCTAGTATTGCCGCGATGTGTTCGTCGCAGGAAGTCCGCATTTTACACACGACTGATGGCCTGTTAGGGTATTATTTGTTTGGCCGCCATAATATGGGGTAGAAGTTCGTAGGAGAGGCCCAATTTGGCTCTTCTCCTAACTTCTACCCCCGCATTATGGCGGCCTGAAATATCCGTTCGGGGCTCAATCCAATTAAAAATTCGGACTTTCTGCCAAGGAATAAATCGCGGCAAAAACTTGGATTACTTGACAATTTCAAGAGACGCAAGATTGCAGACGATAAAAGCGACCGGTGACAATGTCGAGCGTTTCTGCAGACGATAAAAGCGACCGTTGACAATTTTGAAACATTACAGACGATGAAAGCGACATGGTAGATCACGTGCTCCCACGCAGATTAGCAATACTGTTCTTCCGATTGAGGATTTAGCAGCAGTAGATGTCAGACTTGTCGGCATGCGCAAAACACAATTAAACTCACCGCCGAGCGTATCCCTCGCGCCGCGTGGATGGGGGGCTAAACTAGGTGCCTGGGACTCACGAGCAAAGTAATTGGAGGAAGTTACAGGAGATGCGGTAACTGCTGCTCGTGAGTCCCAGCCATCTAGTTTAGCCCCTATCCGCGCACCGGGGGATACTCTCGGTGGTGAGGCATAGTCACAGAAACAGGTCCGCAAGTAACATATCGCTGAGACCCTGTTCGAGCATTTGTTTTGTTTTTCCGAGCCGATTATAGATTTGCCGCGATTTGTTCGTCGGCAGAAAATCCGGCGAGTCTCCATTTTACATATTTGTTTATCGGCAGAAAGTTCGACAATGGAAAGTCAAAGTGTCAATGGTCGCTATTATCGTCTGCAGTGTTGCGTCTCTTAGAACTGTCAGGTAATCAGAAACAATAGGAAACAGGTCTGCAAGTAACATATCGCTGAGACCCTGTTAGAGCATTTATTTCGTTATACGGAGCCGGCATATTTTTAATAAAACAGAGCCCCGAACGGATATTTTAGGCCGCCATAATGCGGGGGTAGAAGTTCGGAGGAGAGCTCCCAATTTCAATTATTAACCTTGCCTTAAAAATTCATATCTCGGCTGAGAACTGACGCAGAAGCCTGAATGAAACACCGCTGGGTTCCATTTTCCATGAGGAATCCAAATATGCTAGTTCCACTGTTAAATAATCCAAAAGAAAATTTGACTAGATAGCAGAGACTAGGCTGTGACTTACTGTAAGAGCTTCCGGTCAAAATGGGCGCCAGGTGGGCCACTGTTTTTGGAGCCGAGGCATTTTTGGGTTCTCCTTGCAATAACAGTCGCTACTTGGACGGCGACGGCTGCTTAGTCAGAGTTCAGTCCCCTGGCTGCAGTGCAATTATGGAGTGGGCAAGGCACGAATCACAAAACACAGTTAGTTCAACATGGCGTCTAGACCACGAGCTCCGACTCACATTAGCCTAACCCTAACCATGTCATTTGTGTCGTTACCTCTTTTCCACTCTGTAATTGCACTGCAGCCAGGGGACTGAACTCCGACTAAGCGGCCGCCGCTGTCCAACTAGCGACCGTTAATGCAAGGAGAGCCCATTTTTGTTCCAATTGTAGACTGGATATAGTTTCGTCGCCCAGCTTCTGAGTTGAATGCATGGCGTGACACTGTGAGCTGCGGATTTAATTTGGAATGTTTTTTCGACTGTGACCAACGTGGGGGTGTGAATTGTAGATTCAGAAAATGGTGCGATGCCTGTCGTCGCAATTTTGGTGGTGCCCGTATGTGATTAAAATTGATCGCATGGGCAACTGCAGATCTGTTGGTGACTTCTGCTACCATCAATGATGAACTGCATTTCTTGTCGGACTGTTTGTGTTAGCACTTCGGATGGCTACCATGTGCTTTAATGTAGCGACTACGGTGTCCGAAAATTTGTGATCTTTTGGCAATTTCCGTTATCACGGAAACCGTTCGAAACTTGCTTCGGAAATGTCGGCTGGGGTTTCGGGATGGGTCCTAATCTCTCATGAAATTTTGCGATTGGTGTGATTTTCTCCCACTCAAATAGCTGAAAACAGCGGGAAGGAACCCGATTAACAGTGCATGTCTACGACAGCCGGACGTCCTCTGTTTTTCTGTTACATCAGTTTGATTGAAAATAGCGCTAAAGTATTCAAGGTTGGCTTTGGCCTTAAACATTACCAGAAATGGTAATGCTAGTTATAATTGAATTCTCCGTCCAATTTTACATTTGTGTATAAAATTTCTTTCTTGTCCGTGGCTGTTTAGATTTACAGTGACATTTTGGCACTCCTTTGATCCATTCCCCAAAATGGCGGCATGCCACATTCTGGCCATAAAATATCCAAAATTATCCGAACGACGGTGTTCCCGTATATCTAAAATACGGACTGTCTGCCAAGAGACAAATCGCGGCAAAACTAGGATTACTTGACAACCAATATCAACATTTGCACACGGTACTAGTAGCAGACGATAAATACCGACCGTTGACAAAAATTTCGAGCATTTCAGCAGACGACGATACTATCGACCGTTGACCAATTTCGAGGCATTACAGACGATGAAAGCCGATTAGCAATACTGTGTTCTTCCGATTGGAGGATTTAGCAGCGGTAGATGTCAGACTTGTCGGCATGCGCCAAACGCGATTAAACTCATCGCCGAGCGTATCTAGGTGCCTGGGACTCACGAGTACAGTAATTGGAGGAAGTTGCAGGAGATGCGGTAGCTGCCACTCGTGAGTCCCAGCCATCTAGTTTAGCCCACATCCGTGCCGTGCGTAGCGGCGCTGGGGATACGCTCGGCGGTGAGGCACACTCGCAGAAGCAGGTCGGCAAGCAACGTATCGCCGAGACCCTGTCAGAGCATTTGTTTCGTTATTCGGAGCCGGCACATATATTTTTAATAGAATTGACCCTGCATTTGGATATTTTGGGATATTTTATGGCCAGAAATTGGCCAATTTAGCTCCTTTTTTAACGCCATCCTATTAAAGCCGCCATTTTGGGGAACGATTCAAAGAAGCGCCGACATTTTTTCAGGCAATCGCTATTATGTGGCTGTGTCTCATTCGTCATTGGCTGCCATCTTGTCCAATGACAGTCCAATGTAAACAAAGCAAAAACGAAAGTTGCGCAGTTTGGTTGCGCAGAGAAAACTTCTTGTTTCTGGGAGACAAGTTTTGGCAGCTGTTTTTTTTTACATCTCATCTCCACAAAAACCTACATATCTCAGCTCAGAAATGACATACAAGCCTAAATGAGATACCTTTGGAAAGAGATTGTTTACAGTTATCTAACTGTGCTGGTTTTATTATTGTAGAGGGCATTTTAAAAATTTGACTAAAGTAACTACTGTTGCGACGCGTTTTGCCGTTAACATGGTGAGTAGCAGTAAAGTTAAGTAAGACAAATACTATGCTATAATTCTCACATCGAAGGTTACATATCATTTAAACTAAGAATATATCTACTTCCTAAGTATTGTGTAACACACATACATGGAGAAAGAAAAATGATTAGTAATATAATTTACTTTGAATTTCCCTCTAGCCTTGTCGAACTCCAAAACTGCGGTGGCAGCCATCGCGCTTCACTAACTTGGCCAGGAAACGGTTCAAATTTAGTGCAATAGGCAATAATAAGTGCAAGGCAATTTCACTTTAAAGGGTAAAGTCGAGACGAGCAACTTCATTGTTCGCAAAGTTTTACGTCCCAATATGGGACAAAACTTTTCGTTATTTTAAAGCCCTACCCCCCACCCCCCCCCTGACTTTAATTGGGAGCCCTAATATAACCTAACGGTTGAACAGGGTTTCGTGGCGCGGTGATTTCGGTCACAGGCATGAGGCAAAGTTAAGTCTGATGTGAGGTGTATAAGGAGATACTCCGTACCCCACTCGGGCGCCAGTCCTTCACTGTTCTGGTTTAACGGAACCTCATGCAAGACTCCTGTTGCACGTCCCCGTCGTGCGCCAAAGATAATGTCTCAAATGAGCATTAACAGAGTTGGCAGGGGATCTCGGAGCTGGCGGCCCCCAGAGGTGTAGTGTCCTTTCTGGCTCTCACCAGCCCGCCCCCAAACGCATGGGTGAAAAGTCTAACAAAGCTCAATAATTGCTTGCTAAATGTGTCATCAAATGACAACTCTTGGTTAAAATTCGGGAGGGAATTTAAAACTGTGCTGCTGAGACTCAACCCTGACCGAGAGATTTACCCGCAGCCAAGACGAGTAACCTCTCTTGTAGGCGACTTCTCGCAGCAAGACCCTACCTACGTACATCCTCTGTCAATCCTCAGTGTCGTCGTCACCGCGCTGAGGTACGCCACGGCAGCAACTTTTCATATGCTGGTTTGGAAAAAATGTCTGACAAAGTTATACCCCACGGCACACATGCAAGCGTAGAGTCCGACGATCATAATTCGTACCGAGTAGGGAAAAGTCCGAATGTCCGTATCCACTGGTCCAATTCGCCCGAGTGTTGGGACCAAACAGGTGAAGCCACGCCTGACGCTTTTTGCTTCCCAATTTTGTCGTGCTAAGGGCACAGCTGAAACAATGTTAAAGGTGTCTAACGTAAGATGAAAAAATGTACCTATTTGTGTGGCCACAAACGTCCTAGACCTGCGGGCTGCTCCCCGCTGATCTCCGGAGAGCGCAGCCTTGTAGCGCGGGAAGCTCAATACACGGTTGTGAGGTTAAGCAGTCATGGGCAGGACGTGACGATTCCTTGGGTGAGCCCAGAACCAGAGCATCATGTGTCGGCTCTGCATTTATGGAAGCCTCCTTGGATGGCGGGGAATGCCTATGATCTGCCCCTGCCTTCCCTTGAGGGCTGAAAACTCTACATAGAGCTGCCTTAAGGACGACATGCCGGGGGCCACACCTGTCAAAAGTCAAAGAGGACACCACACAAATGAGGCAACATCTCGACCCACACAAAACAATGGCCACAGTCAACCTAGAAATAGGCTTGACGTCTTCCTCCGAAGTCGGAGTACATCTGCCGGAAAGGCGGGGAACGAGTACTGCAAACAAATAAGCCAGTAAAACGGATGTACACGCAAAACTCAGGTCAAGGTAAAAGCCAAAAGTCCATTTTGGACGAACAACCGCGACTTACCGCCGGAATTCACAGCCGGTGAACAAGAAGAAGAAGAAGAAGAACAGGGTTTCTGAAACTTGTGCTTGTGTGATTCTCATCCGAATGGTGGCACTTTGTGTCACCGGGTGTTAGTCGCTCGTTGTACGGTCCTGGTGAGGTTGAACAACACACCCACCCACACCCACACAACTTCACTGCAACAGGTGGTCCCGAAAAAAATCGGTTTCTCTGTGCAGAACGGCTAGCCTTCTGCCTAGATCATTGCACGAATTCCATACTCCAGTGACAACCCTCGTAGATTTTTCGTAAAAACTGCACTCTTGAACCAAATGACGTTTATGTAAAACAAACCAACGGCCGCTGCCAACAGAGCGCAAGGCATGCGGTTTGACCACTTCATCACTAGGGCATCCATTCTCATGTGCAAAATATACGTTCTGGGAATGTTAAAAGGGAAATCAGTGCGTATTTTTTAAATTAATTTTTTTTTTAAATAATCTTTTTATAAATCACCTCACTTGATTTGCTGATTTTTTCCCCATAGTAGAAGCCAAAAAAATTAGTGACACTCCAGCATGTGCACACGCATTACTATATAAGGCACGCCGCCAATTCTGAGATAATCAGTCATTCTCCTTTTTTTTTTAATATGCAGCTCAACATACATCTCCAAGAGCACAAACAAAAAGCATTCCCCGAGATATTCACAGCTCGCAGGTCCGCATCATGCATTCATTCTAGTAGCTTAGTGTTTATCTTGTCTACTATACCATCCAGTATTCCGCTAGGGGTCGAAACCTTAAACTTTCCCTAGATTACTGGACAGAACTGGGTCCAGGGCGTTAAAGTAAGATAGGCTTGGGCAAGAGAGACTAAAAGACGCTAAGAGTTTTGAACTGCGCATCATTGCTTCTTTGGGACCAATTGTGCCAACTCTATATCTCACTTTAGGGCAGCCGACAGGTTATAGTTGGTCATGGTCTGAAGTTTCTTGATGTTTGGCAGGGAACCATACTGTTGTGGCAGTTGACATCCGACCAGTAGAGTCATGCCAAGAAAGAAAGCAATGGCAAATTACATTTGTCAGTATGCTAAGAAAATTCACGATTTCGTACTTATACAAACGAAACAGCTTCTGGAGACAGATGACAATCATAAACTTATCAGACGCATTAGACGTACGCGGTAGACATTTTTGACTTGTAATGAGGAAGAATAGACTCCAAAACTCGATGGTAACTGGCAAGATTGATGAGAAAAGAGCAAGGGAAAGAAACAGATATATTTTCTGGATAATTTGGCCACATGGATGTGGCGAGACTAGAGGACTGACCGGATTTGGGATTGTGGTGATCATGTGAGATTGCGAAGTTTGACCTCCTACGTGTATCGACTGGGACAGAAGGATGATGATGTTGATGATGCAACTTCATATAAATATAGCAAGAAGTGTAATAATTAACAGTCCTTGTGGTGAACGAAACGGAGCTCAGTTCTTCCTGCCACCTGATCCAGAATGTTCTCACTGTTCTCTCTCTCTCTCTCTCTCTCTCTCTCTCTCTCTCTCTCTCTCTCTCTCTCTCTCTCTCTCCCTCTCTCTCTCCCCCTCTCTCTCTAACACTACACATTTTTAGTAGCCTCACCCCCTTTCGCACGTCTCTTTCTCTCTCTCCCTCTCTCTAGCTCGCTCTCTCAGACTGGAAATCTACCTTTGTGAACATACCAAAAATCAGCTTAGTGTGTCCTACTGTTCATCGTATTGTTCATCATCTTCTGTGATCACTAAAATCACGAATCAGGTCAATTTTTCTTGTCCCATCAATACCTTGTTACCTTACAATCCATTATATGTCTACGTTTTCCCTGACTCTTTCTAGTCTCCTTTACTTCCCAGAACATATTTCGGTACCCATTTTAGGTTGGATCGACTTGGGGCGAAGAAAAGCTGTAACAAAATTCTTTCCCATGTCGATTTGACCCCACTGCACTACCGTGCCCCCGGTGTCATAATGCATTTATCTCTTTCGGTACCAACCAACTCACAATACGTTTTTTGTGTGTGCTTTTACAGATAACATGGTGTTCTTGCCGTCTTCTCTTAGAAACATTTATCATTATTTTGCGTTATGTTTCTGAATTATTCATTTAAAGTTGAAGTCAAAAGTTAATTATTCGTTTAACTGCGTCTGCTGTATGGTATCTCTGTTGAACTCCAACAAACACGAGTATTTACTGCTGTCAAGTTCATTTACTTGGGACATAAGGGCAAAATGAATAGACCGACTGCCTCCCTTATAAGCATTTACTAAAATCGAAATGGGTTGGGTGCAGATATCGCAGGCTAGGTGTAAACCACAACACAACGTTCTTACGGTCCCTTAAATGGTGAACACAAAAGACAGAAAAAGAAAGAAGGAATGAAAAAAGAAAGAAAAAAGAGAAAGAAACAGAAAAAAGAAAAAGAGGAAGAGGAAGAAGACAAAGAAAATGAAGAATAGGTTGATAATAATAATTAACAATAATAGCAGCTGCTTGGTACTGAAAGATTTAATAACAAATATATACATATATATGTTACATTGCCAACCGGCAAAAGTATTCCTAGCGTCTGCTGACGGGACGGCAGTAATGTTGTAAGCAGTGTTGCCACTTTGGATCTTTTATATCCAAATTTAAATCTTTTTCATTGCATTTAGATACTGTTTTTGACGTTTAGATCGTAAATATTTTTCTAGAAATTTTCATGTGGAGTTAGATATTTTATAGATTTTTCTTTCTTTCATTGTCAATTTAATAATTACTGTGTAAAATAAATATCTGACAGCCCCGGTACTGATTAATACAAACGCACGTAAATCATACTAACTTTGTTTCAACCGTATCCTCACTGTGCTGACTTTGCGTTTCTTTTTCATGTGATAAAAAAAAAATAATTGCTCAATTTCTTATGTGGCTTTCACTTTGAAAAAACCTTTCAACGTGCCAAAAGTAAAGTATGAGCAACAAATTTGGAAAGAGTGGTTGCATGATGACAAAATTAAAAACTGGGTATATAACCAAAGCTTGTTGTAAGTACTGCACGTGTGAAATTAAAGCGACAATACAAAACTCAAAGAGTCATGCAGATACTAAAAAAAAAGCATAAAACTGCAGTTTCATTCAAAGATATTACACCGCTGACATCTGTTTTCAGAACTACACTGATAAATGAATCATCAAAAGTTGAAGTATCAGCCGGAATGTTTTAAATTTGTCACTGCGCAATTTCAAACTGTGACCATTTGATCGATTTGTAAAAAATCTTGGATTAGTTTAATTTGAAAAGTGTGATGTAGAAAGTATAGTTTAGGAACTGAAGGACTTTTTAATAAGCAAACAGTTAGGCTTGAAGATTTTGGCTGTAATTGGTACTGATAATGCCTCAGTGATGGTTGGTATAAACAATGGCGTTTATGCCAAGTTGAAGGAAGCTAACCCATTG